CACTCCACCACCGCCACCTCCTCCCCGGAGGCGTTTGCGTCGCGTGGGGGCCTCAAGAGCTCCCACGTCCACCCCCCTTCCCCCTCCCCTTGCCCTTTTGCGTCGTCGTGTGCTTCCTTTGGGGGCGCCGTGGCGGGGGTGGGGTCGGTCGCGGCGCCTTGGACGCGTCGCCTCGCGATCCCATCGCTGATTTCCTGCAGTTGCGTCGTGATGGCCTGCAGGTCTTCTGCCGAAAGCACAGCAGCGGGGTCGTCGTCGGGCCGTGAGATTCGACGGGGGCACCCATAGGCAGGGGTGTGGATCAGCCTCACCTTGGAGTCGTACACCTCTAGCCTTTCACCTGGCGCCAACCCCTCGTACTCGCCGTATGCCAGGATAAACATGTTGGTGAAAATTTCCATAGGCGCATCGATCTTCGCGGAGCTCCCGCCAGAACGGACCGGGGGGTAATTTCCAAGGCCACAAAGTTCGAGGGCATGGAAACGCAGAAGGGCGGCTTTTAGGATAAGCTGTGGGCGAATGAATGCCGACATAAATCTTTTTGTGAAATAACAGTTTCGATCGCGAAAATTAAAAAAAGTCCATCGGTATTCAAGAAGTAGGTTAAATTTACTTCACAACATTATTGTGTGCATCCGTTGATCCAGAAAGTAGATGGAAAATTCAGACGTGTGAGCGTTTTTATTGAGGAGATGATTGTTTTATGTTTTCTTCCCTATATGAAATAGGTCTATCTATAGGATGGAATGACATCACCCTGTCCAAGGATGGTCTCTCTGTACATCGAGTAATCCACACTCAAAGCGACAGTGCATTCCTAGGACATCATCCAAAGAAAAGATTTGTGCACTTGAAAGGGAGGGATGGACAGCTGTGGGTGCTTTCAGGAAATGGTGTAAGATAACTATATCTAGGTGCCTAACCTCTTAGATTTAAAGTAATCAGCACTATTCAGTGACACTACCTTCTATATAGCACAGCAACTCCGTTGCGACGTTGGAAGTGGTTTCTATGCCCCACTTCGCACCTTCTTGTGCAAGGCAATGCAAGGCAGTCTGTGCAGCCACTTCGACGGATGTTTTAGCTAACACAGGGTTCAAACGGCAGAGGGTATGGAGCTGCTGCACAGCAAGGGATGCCAGCAAGGCGCGCTGACGAAGATTGGGGCATGTCATAGCGACCCGCACTGCGTGCCCCACCGCGATAAAGCTGAGGGGGTTATTAGCACACTCAACCGCCATTCGCTTGTCTGTGCAGAGTCGAATCACACATCTTAGAATCCCTTCTAGACATTCACTCTCGCCTTCATCAAGTGAGCACCTCTTGATGGCGTACGCTAGCACCGGCACACAACCCTTGCCGTCCCGCAAAAACTCTGAAGCACGCGGGGAGACCTGCTGAAGGGTAGGCAGAAATGACAGCGCCTCAAGCCGGAGGCTCCGTGGGACGTCTTTCTGATGCCAAACAGTGAGAAGCCCCCCTGCTAAACTTCGTCCCGCGACCTTGAGGTAGTCGTGATGGTGTTGAACAAGATGACGAAGGAGGGCTAATAGCATGTGAATCGCGTGTTGACAGCCATGACGATTGGCTTCCTGTAGCGATAGATACCACTGCACCGTAGGCGCGGCAGCCCCTCCAAACTTCTCCTTTGAGGTGTTGTCGTGCTCTCCGCTAGCGTCCTCGCCGTCCCTCGCCGCCGTACTGGCCTCCGAGTTGCCACCTGCTGCCGCCGCCGTCGTCGAGGCGGTTTTCTTTTCCGTATCCACCGCGGCCGAGGTGAGGCCCCACAGGTGGTCCTCCCCGGCCTCGGTCTGTCTCGCGGTCTCCCAGAGGATCTGACAGAGCCGGTCCACGATGCCCCACTCCCTCGCCGGGACGTCGTCTTGGGCCTCCTTCGACAGGATCGCCCGCTGACACACCTCCACGACTTTGCGGCGTATTATCGAAAAGCCACCGTCGGCGATAAGGCGCTGTTGGGCACACCTGCGACGACGGGCCTGCTGCTGTCGTTTCGCTTGAAGCTCCGGGTTACCGGCGCACACGTCGGGGAGACTTTTGGCAGACCCTCCCATGGGCCCGGTCTCCCCTCTCCACGGCTCCCCCTCCTCGTCCTTTTGCCTTCCCCCACGTCCTTCGTGCTGCTGGGATGAGGATATGGGATACGAATCGTCGCCTACGTAGAGACGACACATCGCCTCGATACAGCGCTCCTCGATGGACGCATGTTCGCAGTGCAAAACAAAATGCACAGCACCCGGATGCGACGGTGCAAAGTGGGGAACTACCGGATCCTGCTTGTCGCAGCAGCACGAGAAAATTGTTGCCAGATGATCCGGTGTATCCTTAGTTAATGTTTTATACCTGTAGTCCCATAGCGTGGTCGAGCCTAGAGTGTCAAGGAAAAGGCTCTCGTCTGCTTTCTCGCGTTCCGCCGCGAATGCGAAGCTGCGGAGGATGGAGTAGGCCTCATCTGCTGTGATAAATTCTAGAATGCTGATCACCTTGCCAAGGTTGCCTCCACGCAACCATCGCACACACTGCGTCGCAGATATGGAGAAAAGACAGTTTTCAACCCATTCGCCCAGTCTGACCTCGTCTGTGCGGCCAAAAAAGGTTTTAGCTTTTTCCTTATGTGCCACCCCGCGCACCCTGTCTTCGGAAGGAGGGGACTCTCTTTGCCAATTTTCCTTCTCTGTGACCGCTCGGTCTAACCAGGCACTAACTTTTGCATCCATGAACCAACGATACTCAAGCAAACCCACTGCCGTAGGCCGCGCATGGGGGTCGATCACAAAGCACGCTTTCAAAACCTCTAAGCAGTCCTCAGATAACGGCAGCGAGGGTAAAGGCGGTGTTTGACATGTCATGATATGATGAAGGGCATTCGCAGGCGGTCGATCTGCGAAGGGCGGCTTCCCAGTGAGTAACTCCACACACAAACATCCGAGAGACCACACATCACTACTTGGATCTAAAGACTCACCACGCGCCATTTCTGGGGACATCCAATACACAGAGCCGACCGCGTCGTGCCCCCCCTCTGGTAACGTAGCGACGCTAGGCCCTGCGAACCCAAAATCCGAAAGCTTCACCTCGTCGTTATCACAGACAAGCACATTAGCGCATTTGATGTCGCGATGAATGCTATTCCTGCTATGAATATATGCCAGGGCTGCCACAATCTGATACATCAGCCGTGCCGCATCCCACTCCTCGAACCCATGTCCTCGGCTCTGTAGTTGTGCCAGGAGGGAGCCCTTCGATGCGTACTCCTCCACAATGAAGATGGTTTTATTGGACTGCATATGATCTAGGTACCGAATGACATAGGACTGTGCACGTGCGTCATCCCGTAAGGCGATCAGGGTCTCCACTTCAGCCCGCCAGCGCTGTACTGTGGCGTTATCGGACGCGGTCATCTTTTTGACGGCTACAAGCTGATCCGTTACAATGTCAACGCCAAGGTAGACTGTTGCACTGCCGCCGTAGCCCAAGACCTCCTTTAGTTGGTAGGTAGAGTAACGACCCTTCACGACTTTAGTGTTTTGCATATCTATCTTTGTTACAATAGCAGGATGTCACTACCCGCTGCCAACAGTGCCGTTTGCACCAAGGTGGGATTTCTATAGTACTCTCTATCTCGCTGAAGCCTCTTTGAACAAGCAAAAGGGACCTGATGAGATGCAAAAACAGGAAAAGAAAGAATAACTCCTTCAGAACCGCCACTTAATGCATTGGTATCGTCACATAGATCAAATGAAAGGTACCCATACTTAAATACGAATATAAATGTAATCAATATAGTCTTTCTTCTCGAAATAAGCTCCTGAATTTCCACCAGCTACAGTGTGATTTCACTTCGGACCCGCTGACGACCGACCTTTGATCTGGAGCGCAACGCTTCGTGTAGGGGCTGATGGCCTTTCAACCCCTCAATGCTTTGACCTGCTTCCGTCAGATTCTTCATTGCGGTTTGCAGTACCATAGTATCAATGCCAATATCGCAATCAAGTGAATACTTGCTAATCTTATTAACCGTCTCCACATCACCGGCCCGTGCGGCGCGTTCAAATATCGGAAGGATCATCTCCACCTCCACTCTTAGGCTCGGGTGGCGGTCAACCTCCTGTAGGTAATATACAGCTTCATCAATATCATCGTGGAGGACTGCTTGACGAATCAGCACGCGGAAGGTCTGTGGATTAGGTGTAACCCCAGCCTTGAGCATCGATTCATAAAGCGTCCGAAGCAACACCGAACCACGCTGAGTGCTGGAGCCCACGAGAAGGCAATTTAGAGTACTTGTCTGCGGTCGTACCCCCCATATTGAGTCATAGGAGAAGACTAACTCCATGGCCCGCCGCTCCTCTCCAAGCTTGCATGCCGCTAACACAATCACATCGAGTGAATAAACGGACACTAGTTCACCACAGCGTTTGCGTTCCTTGAGGTGCGCCAGCACCTCATCGAGCAAACTCATGGAGCTGATAGAATCCGCAAGAACCATTAGGAAATGCCGATCCATTGTATAGCGCAAACACTCCACGTGATAACGCTTAAATAGATCAGTAAAGTCGAGGTAACCCTTACGTGCCATCAGCTCGACTATGTCAAATGCCTTTCCAAGCTCAAGAGCTTGAGCCCAACACCACACCACCAAAGCGAGCAGGTCCGCTGTTCTTGCCATCATGTGTCGGTCCATCAGCGCGAGCACTTGTGCCGTAGTGACCGCATCCGCGCACTTGGCACACCGCAAGAGCAACTGTGCCACATGTTGCTGCTGAACGTACTGGGTGAAGTAGGCCTTATCGAGCACACAGCGTATCTCAAGCTCTAACATCAGCCAAAGTATGTACTCAGGGGGATAACACGCGGGTACCACGGTGGTTCCGGATGGTGACACAGTTGATTCCTTTTTTTCCACTATCTTAGGGGTCGAAGAATGTGCTGCTGATCGGTGGACAGGGTCCTGTAGCCAATCCTCAATCCGCTCTAGCAGCATGCGCTTGTCCATGATGACTGAGCCATGTCGGAGGGCCTGTCGCGTCACCTCGACAACGAAGACGCTGTCTGGACTGGAGGGTACAACACGTAACAGCATCACTTGGACCGTGCAGGGTAGAGGGTCAAGCTTTTTCTCATAGATAAGCTCATCCCACAAACCCTTCGGGTCTAGTCCAGCACGCACGTGCAATTCAATGAGGTAATGGTATGTCAGTGGGTTGGGAAGCACACCAACTTCCTTCATTTCTTTAAGGATGAAAATCACTTCAGCGCGATCGAAATTCTTGCGGCGAGTCAAAACTTCCAGGTAAGCATTGAAGATATTAACATTAAGTAAAGAGGGCCTGCTCCAGTGCATTACTTGCGATACCCTGTCAGTGCTGACGAGATGCCTTGTCAGAGAGGAGCTAAGTCCCTTTGAGGCTGGGGAGGATTGATGTGCAGCTTGCTGACGTTGGCTCCATTCCGTAGTCGGCGAGCTTGTGAGACCTTTTTGGGGCGCAAGGTCTCTTAATGCAATGACGAAAATATTCCGGACACCTCGCATCTGTCCAAGCGACATGTAGGACCGCATAAGAGAAAGCACAACGTCTCTAGCCTCGCAGGGATTCACGCAGAAATTCAAAAACGATTCCTTATCCGAGCGGTAATTTGCTTCAAAATAGTTCACAACCTTCGAAAAATCCCTTTTGTTCATCCAGTCTTGCATCAAACGTAGCGGTGTGTCAGAGAAGGGTGGGCTAATTCGCTTAGGACCATCCAATGGCACGCATGAATTTGGGTCTGCCGAATTTCCATAGAGCTCGTTCATTGCTTTATCAACCTGCTTCACATCATTGTCGGTTCTATGTACGCACGTGGAGTCTTGAATAGAAGCGTTTTCACACTTACTATCAATATAGTCAGTGTCTTTAGAGATGCGGTAATAAGAACTAGGTATTAAAGGTCCTTTACGAGATGAATACTTCTGGCTGGTATTTCCAACATGATGAAACGCGCAACAAATAGTAAATAAGGGATTGCCATGATTGTTTCGATTATGATATCTAAAGAAGCGCAGTAAAGACAAACGAAACGACTTCATCGGTGGTTGATGTAAATGTACCCAAGAGCTGACGATCTCAAGATCCAAACCGTCTGGAGAAAAAAAAAAACAACAATGATAGGAATTTTCCAAGAAATAATTTGAGAAAAATAGAAGGAAAGAAAGATAGAAAATATATCAATAATTTAGTGAAGAAAACAAAATAAGAGCACGAATAAAGTTACGGCGCAAACAGCTATCATTATGTGTACGAGCTCAATGAAATATTTTAAGAGAAAGACAACAGTTAAGATTCATAGAAGAAAAATTATACTTACAAAGAAAAATAATTTAAACAATAAAAGCTCAAATCTAGGACACAATGTAAAGTAAAATTTAGAATATCATCAGCTAATATAATATAATAATAATAATTCTAAAAGAAAAATTAAACAGTAGTCAAGAAATAAAAATAACAATAAAGATTTGTCAGAATTTTTCTCGTCGCCCACCCGCGAACCCCGGTTAGGGGATTCTACCACGTTAAAGCTCTTTTGAGTGGGTGCTCCCGATTGGAAGGTACCGAAGTCAATGAAGAAGAAGGAGGAGAGCCTGCGCTCAGCTCATAATAAATTTGTTAATTAAATATATTTATTGTGTGTATGTACGTTTTTACCTCTTAAACTCTCCCTTCTATCCCTTGCTTGTTAATTTTTCCTTAAAAACAAAAAAAACATCGAATTTAATCTTCACGTCCTATTTTCTCAGCTCTTATAGCTTCCCCTGGTTCGCCTACTTCATGGAGACAGTGAGGGCGGCAATCATCGTCGCACCCAGACCGCTGCCGTCCTTCTGCAGCACCAGCGTCGCCTTGGATTCCTTGCCCAGGATGGCGTTCACGTTGTCCTGATACAGCCGCTGGAAGGATGGCATCTTCTCATAGACAGAGCCGTCCACCGCAACCGTCGCGAGGCCCTGCATGTGTGTCTTGAGCAGTGGGGCGCTGGTGAGCATGGCCGCCTGCTGGGCAGATCGGTTACGCACGAGGCGGCAGACCTCGCGAATCGTCCTTAGATCCGACAGGTCGGTGAGATCCACACCCGTCACCTTCTTGATCAGCCTGCGCGTGAACTGAAGACCGGGTCCCTGGTCACCCGTGATCATGCCCATGTACTTGGTCTCGAAGGACATCGGCTTGGACATCGCACTGGCCAGGCTGGGGGACAGGCATCCGATCTCAGACAACTGCACTATCATGTAGCGCGCGATCTCGCCAAGGTACATGCCGGAAACGATCTTCTCCTGAAGCTGGTTGTCCGGGTTGAGCGACCTTTCGTCGACCAGCTCGTCGTATTTGGTGATGGGCAGAACGTACCTGTACTTGGAGTCGAAGTTGCCGCACTCCATGTTAATGGCCGTCATGCGGTCGCCATGAGCGGCCACGGCGGGATCCTTGGTGACGGCCGCGCTGCGCTCGAAGTAGCACGCGTTGGACCCTGTGCCGACGATCACGCCAACCTGCGCGTTCTCATCGGAGAAATAGCGCGCGATAAGAGTGCCGACGGTGTCATTGCAGACCGCCACCACGTTCATTTGGACGCCCAGCTTCCTGAACGCGCCTCGCAGCAGCTGCGCGACGTCCTTCCCCACCACACCCTCCGTGGAGAAGCCCTTGGTCCACTTGATGAGCACACCGGAGTCGATGCTCTTGAGCTCACAAGGGAAGCTGAAAGTGAAGCCCATGGGCAACGCCTTCTGGAGGTCCTCAGGCGCCTTCTCGGACATCATCGTCTTCACGCTTTTCGCGATGAAGCCAAAGAGGTCGTCGGCCGTCCCCGTGAGCGCAGAGGTGGGAATCACGTACTTGGAGTCCACGCGCTGAACCACCTTACCGCCCTCCACACACACACGGAGCACTCGGAAGTTCGTGCCGCCGAGATCGAGTGCGTAAAATACGCCAGCTGCGTTCGAGGCGTCAGACTTGTACACGAAGGACGGCAACATGCGAATCGTGCTCGGGCGGCCCTCAAGACCCTCGATCATCTCGTGGATCATATACATAGTCATCATCTTCAGGCGGTCCATTCCCATGTTGAACTGCGTGGCCAGCGTCGCGAGGGCCAGGCGCTGCTTGATGTGGTGCATCTCTTCGCCATCCGACTCCTTCGTCGCGATGTGGGTCAGCAAGTTGTTCAGGCGATTGGACATTTCTCTTCGGAGCTGTGTAGTAGTTTATGTTGTTTGCGAAAGTGTCAGTAGTAAAAAAGAAAGGTAAAGCTAGTTAATGTGATGCAAACTAATAGGATGTGAGGGGGTAAGGCATGGTAATAAGTACAGCGAATCGGTCATGTGAACATGGGGAAAACCGCGACAGAGGACAGGTTACACCACCGCTGCGCACACCGCGCCTCGCGAACGAGAGGGGAGAGGCAATTAGAATTATTGATACTGCTAACGGAAGTTACGAAAGTAACGAAAATACGCGTGCATACATACAGTCTCACTACGGGAATTAATACGACTTTTAGTATTCTCTGATGTGAATGACTTGGTATCTGTGTGTCTTTAGTTATATTTTCTTACGAACTTTATGGTTGTAGTCATCTTTTGGCTGGATTACCTAAACAATGCATTGAAGTTTTGCATGTATGTCGCTTTCTGAGATTTTTTTACGGCGACTAAATACTACCGTTGAACGTCTTCGAGCCATATGGCGCCATCTTCTCATGTTATCATTGGTCCCATCTAAAATTACTTTAGCCCCACACAATGGCAAAAGGGAAGCAAACTCTATTTCCGTTTTAAGTGTTGATTTCCCGATCAGTGTGGTGCAAATGGAAGCAGGATGGGGGATATATGAATCTGGTAGTATCTCTTGTACTTCACGGCGAAGTCGCTCTATGAGGTTTGGGCATTGTCCCATTCCACCGAATACAAAGATGTTAGACATCACTATATTTCTCATCATTTGAATTTGCTGAAGTATTCCGCGTCTCCAGATAGATGTTAGTGCCTGAATAAGACCCATCTGATCGAGGCCAACGTCGTACGGCGTGAAAAGTAATTCTGGAACAAGGAAGCATTCTTGATTAAGGCGTAGACATGGTAATTGAATACTTTCATTACTATCACGTTCCTGGCACTGTGTCTGAATGAGTGAGCTCGGCAGTTCCGTCGAGAGGCAGCCCAGAGGATGAAGGGCAGGGACCGCGGGGAGATAGTACACAACGCCACTGCCTTGCGTTTTCACCTCTGACCCGGTACCCACCTTTACTCCTCTTGTGGCTGCGGCCTCACAGCACTGCCTCAGTTCCTCTCGGGGGTGCAGAGCAACTCGACAACACTTCTCTTTGATGTGATTGACAAGCCAGCCATCCTCTGTCAGATTAGTTTGCGTAAAGGAGATGTGTTCCTTTAGACGGTTAGTAAGTAATTTGCCGCCGACATCAATACGGATTATTGAAGAGTAAACAGGATTATATCCTATATAAGGCACTATCGTAGTGTGGGAGAACCCTAAATCTACTAACGCACCGCAACCTGCTTGCACTACATTTTCGCTGCGTGTTCTTTTGCGAGTCTTCCCATGTGCACCACTATTGTCTATAGCCTTCTCTGCCCATAGATGTGCTGCACTCTCGTAGCAAAGAAGTACAAGAAAAGAGCTGCTAACGAAGGTAACCGCACGGAAGTGAAACTTCACTGTGAGCAGGTGGTGCAACACACCAGCCACTGCCTTGGGTGCGCCGAAGGGGGTCGTTAGCCACAGGTCCGTATTCTGCTCATTAGCAATACCAAAGTATTGCAAGACATGTTCCCACACACGTACCTGAAGATTGACATCTACGATAAAACCACGATCCACTGGGCGGCGCACGAGAAAGCCGTGATATTGCGGCAATTGGTGCATTTGCTCACCAATGATACCCCGACCAACATGGGCGTTGGCGCCAACGCAGTTCGGAACAGTAAGGAACACCGGCGTTTTCGATGACGGGGGCAGATACATAGCCTTAATATTAAAGCCACCGTTATCGATGAATAGAACAGCACGTTTGCTGCTGACAGACTTCATGTGCTGCTATATTCTGATAGTGCTTGGCTACCCAAACGCATACAAAACATTAGAGATCAAGCCACTGTGCTTAGGGCGATCTCTGTTGGGCTTGCACAAAAAAAGGTGCTTGGAAGAGATTCCTCTCACACCAGTAGATAAATTTATTCGGAAACTCTAATACTAGAAGTATATAGTTGAAAGGGGCCTCGGCAAGCCTTATTTAGAACTTTGACAAGCAAAAATAAATAAATAGAAGAAGCCATTGTACAGCTCAAAATTCCCGAGATTAGCAATACGATTAAACATACTAATATCGAGACATTGTCGTCCACAAGATGGACAGGTCTTTCTCCAAGTAATCATGCTGTCCCACGTGTTTCTCTACATCAGTTTCGTTTTTTATTTTGGGCGCAGGTCTACATCAGGATGACTTTTTCCCCCATTCCTGTCACTTCTCGTACGGGGTCACAGCTGAACAAATTTACGCGGTTCAAGTTTCTGTACCGCGTCAGGTTGAGCGCATGTCTTCAAATTCTTCACTAAGGAGAACTTAGTAACATGGTGATAAGTTCTTCGAGACTAATTTTATCATCGCTATCCCTTTCAATGTCATCAAGGATGACGTCCACTACTTCTTGTGGCAGTGAGGTACCCATATTCAGCAGGATGTGCCGCAACTGCCCACTTGTAATGTAGCCGTCCATATCCTCGTCCAGTACCCTGAGAGCTACCCGTAGCTCCGCTTCTACGTCTTGCTGACTTTTCTGTGCATAGAGTTTTTCAACCACGGGTAGCAGATCCTCTTTACTGACAAAACCAGTTTTTTTGCTGTCTATGAGCAATATCACGCGCTCAACGTCAACCTCACTCGGGTAAAAGCCCAGAGAGCGGAGGAGGGACTTCACTTGATCTGTCTCAACGAAACCATCCGAATTGGTATCTAGGAGAAGGAATTGAAGCGTAAAGTTGTTGAGCTCGGCTTGATTGAGTGGCATTCTTGCTGGATCCTTCGTCCCACTAGTGTGTATGATTGTAAGGGTAATTTGCAATGACACATAAAGTGCCACTTCCTAAGCCTAACTCAGGAGGAGGAAGAGCACTATGCAAGATTAGGGGGTAATAACATGAATAATGATAGATCTGTAGTTGTCTGCATTATTGACATATTAAATATAAAACTGAAAGAATGGGAAGAAGTGAAAACAAGGACAACAGGCATTACTTCTTAATAGAGAAGAACAGCAACTCTATGCAGTGCAAAGACCCCTGTTATCTCACTCATCCTGCAATTTTACCCTATCCTTACTAATCACCTCGATGTTTCTCAGGGACTCATAGCGGCTACACAGCGCTCCGCCAACGAAAAGACTTGTTCCACATCTTCTGTCATATCGTCTTCTTCATCCTCCCCATTATTAGCATTATCATTGTCAATCAGCATCAGTATTCTTAGCTCATTGCGATAATAATCCATTACATGCATCGTTAGCTGTGGAATACATAGACGGTGTATAAATCTCCTGGTGTCCTGATGCAATGGCAGGTGATCCAGTAGATCGCTCGGCTCAACTCGTGTACACTTCCCTCTAGCTCCAAGCTCATCTAGGTTACTTTTACTACCTTCAGGCTCAAGGGTCTCGGGCTGTGCATACAAGCTATGCCGCCCCTGCGGTACAGAGGGTGGAAGCGTCAATAGAAACCCGTATAGTAACGCCAGTGTGAGCCGCATCACAGCAATTTCACCACGGTGCATCAGGAGACCACGTATCCCCAAGAGGAGGCTTCGACACTGAAAGCTATCAAGCAACGGGATACAGTAGCTTACACACTCAACTGCGGGCTCTAATATCTCCAGATCACTGTGCTCCCCAGCCTTTCCTGTCAGTGTTGCAATCGCGACAGCGTACGCACCAACTTGAAGTAGACGTTCCCTATTCTGGTCGTACTGCGCGCAGATAGCGAAAAATTTCAAGATGGCCTTCCGAATAGACGCGTTCCCTGCATGTTTGCGGATGGCCCTAACCATGACCCCTAGCACCGAGCCAAGGTGGGTGACAAGGACTGCTACAGGAGTCTCTGCGGGTGGCTCTCGCGGTAGCTGCACCAGTGCCGCAAAGAACACCACCGCTGGTGTCGCCACCAGTGGATCTTCCCCATGCCGCTGGCACCCACTTAGCACGTTCGACACGAAGTCTGTTCCGACGAAGTCGTCCGCGGTGTAGGGGATGGGCCCTGTCGCCGTAGAAAGCTCCGCGGCCACCTCGACCGTCGCCGCAACCAAGTCGGCGGAATTCGAGAAATTTCGCAAAAGCATGTCAAGAAATCGAACCATCGTTAGGGAAGGTGAGAGGTGACTGCACCCACCTTCGAAGACCTCCTCTTTCTGTGAAGTGTAATAATCAGCTACAACACGATGAAGTTCTGCGAAGCTTGCAGGGTGACGGAGCAAATGGCGAGCAACCCGCAACGCCGCAGTAATGACGCGGGGACGCTGGCAAAGCAGGCAGGCGCACACCACCTCGGGCACCCCTTCCTGGGCTAATATGCTAGGCTCCATAACGAAACTGGAACCTTCCTCAACAGCCCACGCGTAAATGTCACTCAGCAAATCGCAAAGGGCCGTGACCCTATCGAGTTCCGTCGGCTTGATCACGACCCCGCCAAGGTATGAGGGTTTCATCGCGCCACCTTTAGGAACGGTCGCGGAGTCGTCAGCTGCTGTGTTTAGAAGCACAGCTTGCAGGCGACGCACGTGGAGTGCGACCTCACTCAAAGAAGGAGGTTGAGACCCATTAGTTGTCGGCCCGAAGCTATCACCTCGGTTGAAAGTGTTGCTCGTGCTTATTATAGCTTCTCTCATCGCGTAGAGAAAATACCTCAAGGGGAAAATAAGTCTAGTAAGATCTACGGGCACTAGAAAGTTCAGATGAACGGCTCGGGATATACAATACGTCCTTTATCTGTCACTTTTTACATTTCAGACGATAAAAGGATGGGGTTGGGTGCATACGGATGGAAGCTAAATCAGAGTAAGACAAGTATACCCAGATATATAATTTATAGAAGTAAATTCATGTGCACTACACGTAGTCGGATGAAATTTTGATAAAACATAGCTTTCATGAAACATTGAGCATACCAGTAAAATAAACCTAGAAACGAAACATCAAAGCCTCCTCCTGAGCTCATGTCCCATCCACCCTGAAGAGAGGTCCGTCACTCTTAGCATTGATTAGATTGCACAGGTCATTGAGATGGCAGATTGGACACGTCTTTCTGTGATAGACCCTCTCGATCCCGAGATGAGCAAAATTAAGTACTAAAGACTCTGAACCACCAGTATTTCACGCGCATTCTTGTTTGCAGTGCAAGTGCATTTATAGGATGGAGACAACTCACATGTAGTGTCTCCTCTACATTTCTACCTAGATAAGAATCCATCCCTACGTAAATAAATAGGAGCGATGACTTGCGAAGCACCGTTCTTCATTTGCTTTTTTGCTTTCTGAAAACTCAGATAGCGTATAGAGAGTTGAAATACGTTTCATAAAAGAGTTCTATAGACGGCGCGCTATACAACACCGTATTCCAAATTGTTGCTATGATCACTGCATGCGACTGTTCACAGAACGGTGGTTGGACGACTTTAACCTCTGTACTCAAGGTGAACAGACGCGCTGCGCGGCAGGGAGGATATGAAGAAGTCTTCGCAAGATGAAAAAAAGAGGCCAAATAATAACCTACCAGAGGTACACACACATATACACACCTGCCGTCGTCTCTTCTTTGGAAGTTAAGTAGCTCAGACTAAGAGATACGCTTGTTCGCATGTGTTTCACCGCATCATATCGATGACGTGTCGAGCATCCTTCTATTAGGAATTTTCCAACGCAGGAGAAGCAACTGCAGTGCGCACCCCCAGCACAAGTACATTGAAAAAGGCAGATAGCATCTTCGGAGCATTCTCTTCGCTACCGAGACATATTTGAAGTGACCTCATGAAGATATTGGCTGCAAGCCAGTAGTCTTCGTCTTGCACCCCGATCTCTCGCTGCTGCTTTCCAATGTGCCGCAAACTCTGCACCGCATCAGCCCAGTTACTGCCCCCAGCAAGCGCCCTGAAGGTGACGACTATGATGTTCAAGAAGGAGGACTGGTAGATTTCCTCTTCCTCCTCGACCCACCCCGAGGATGCAGACGCGGCGGCTCCATCGCAATCTGCGTCCTTCTCGAGGAGTCGTTTAATTTCACCGGGAAGGGGGACGCCATCACTTCTCTCTGTGTCTACCGGAAGCCTATGATTTTCGACATTCTCATGCACAGAGAGATCCGGTGAGCTAGCTGCTTTCTGAGGGTTTGCTTTATCGCGATCTTTGAGTCGAAGCTCTTCTCGCTGATCATGTAGCGCCTGAATATCCATGAAGACAGTGCGCACGAGTGGATCCTCGATAACCGCAGCAATACCTAGATAAACAGTGCGCATGATCTCACTAAGAAGCGGTGCATAGGCAGACAGAGGGATACTGAGCCGGGGTGCCTTTTCAGCAGCTTCAAAGGCTTCACTGCGGCCTTGGAGGGAACTGTCTTCGTACTGATCCATGTCCATGGTGGTGCTGTTGCGAACCCACACGTCCACGTCGCCAACCGGCGCCGCCGCAAGCATAGCCCACACCTGCAGAGCGAACACTATCACAGGAACAGGAACACTAGCTGGTGAAGTGATCTCAGCATAGGCAGGAGACATGATATTAAGCGGGTCGTCCTGCATGCTGCATGAGCTGCATTTGGTGACATACTGGAGGCGCTTCAAAAGCCCTTGCGAACAGTAATTGCCGTCCAGTTGAACCTTCGTGAGCCGGTGATTTCGTCGCGCGAGGCGCAAGAGCTGATCCGCACCACCTTCATATATAATGTTATTTGTTAGGGAGATCGTGTGTAAGTAACGGTGTTTGTGGAACAAGGCACAGAGCCACGCACATGGCACATCGCTAAGGTTGTTGTTGCTTGCAATGAGGGAGGATAGATTAGGGCAATGGGACAGGGTCAAAAGCAGCGGTGCAAGTCCCTTTTCACCAAGCAGAACGTGATCCAAACACACCTTCGTAAGGAGATTCCATCGGTTAGGATACGGCGCATTTGTCTCTTCCTGAACGGTGCGTAACATCTGCAGCACCTCAGCCGAGCATTTAACATTCGTGTTATAATATTTTGAAAAAAACTGTCGGTAATGTTCGTAAAGTTGAGATAGCGGCATCACACCATAGGGGACCTTGACTTTGCGTGTAAAGGATAAGTCCCATCCAGGTGCTGGCTCTGGAAGGTTCATCTGATGTCGCAGTTGTACCTCAGCATCCAAAGCCATGCTGAGGTTTCTGGACAGGTCCACGACACGCAACATCACATAAACAACCGCAACCGCACTCTCATCATTGTAGCCACTCGTTATGGCACTTTCCACATCGTGTAAAGTTAGCGGCTCAACGCAAGACTGATTCAGAAGCTGCGGAAGGATGGCAAGACGCACCACACAACACATATCCTTTGCTGCCCGCTCAGAAAGGGAGCGGAAGTGAACCTGCTTATTAGCAATGAGACTGGGCTTACAGCCACTACGAAAAATGTCGGCCGAAACACTCATCACAACAGCAGTTGGATCCAAATGTGAGTCTGTTTCTGCGCATACACTGTCTCCTGAACCTTGATCTACATACTCCTCATTGTGAGGTACTGAGTCTAAGCTGACATTCTGCACACGCTCCACCATGACTGACAGAAATTGTGAGCTAGCGTGCGGATTAATTGCATCTGCTGCACTGTGCAGCTCGTAAGGTCCTGAAGTTGAAGTAGAGCCAATTATCTCCTCAGAACCTTGAAATTCGGCGGAGGCTGTCAGCTGAAGCTGAATAAAGGCATCCTGAGATTCAAGCTCGTCAAAAGCAGCCCGATCATAGACTTCTTGTCCAATGATGGTGCCTGCAATGGCCCCAAAGAAAAGAACTTGACGCGCTCTGGTAACCATTTTTTATCCAGTATAGGACTCACCTGTTTAGAATAAAACAATAGAACGGGACCAAAAGTTACAAAAAATCTCGCGAAAAATGGTAGTCCAAGGGCTCACTCACTAAAGCCTATATGATATCTTTCTATATACACTTCACTGCCTTCAAATGCAAAAGAGAAAATATGACTATGTACTCCAAGAAGGAATGGAGGAAAATAAAGACTATACGAACAGGAAGTGAACTTTAAAAAATACAAAAACAAAACATAGAATAAAATAAAATAAAATCACAATTCGAAATAAAGTATTTTTTGAGTTCTTGTTTACAAACACGTCTCATGTCGTGATGAGATGATGGAAATGTTGTAACCTAATATTTAGCGGGAATTTTCATACATACAAAACTATTCATGCACCCCCCAAATAAATAGAAACGAAATGAACTATCAGAGATACGGTATATCTTACATCGTACATTACACTCTCCTGCGGAATTATTTTTTTAAAAAGAGACATGTGCAACTGATGCACAGCACACAATGCGAGAGAAAAGCTTCAAGTCTAGAAATAACCGCATCCGAAACAGTAGTAACCGGCCCAAGCCATTGGATTGTAGCGAAGATGCTCATCTTCCTTAAGCAGTCGCCTTATGGCCATAGCTAGATACATAGCTTTGTGGACTGCCACGGTCGGAACAATTGCTCCACTTTTCCTATACTTATGAACAGCGACACAGCTATTGCCTTTATTATCGGCCAACACTTCATAGAACTTCTTGAAAAGCAGAGAAGGTATCATGTCAGGACTGCACCATTGACCAGCTACAACGCACGGGACCCCACCACTAAAGAAGGCACGTACCACCCCAATAACGTCATCCCGTACGCTGCGGACACCTGCCAGGGTCATATTAGTATTTGTTAGCGTCACGAGTTCTGCGAAGATTTCAGAATGTTGGAGCTCTCGCGCTGTCACCAGCTCCACAAGACCGGCATCCGTCGGAAGGCATAGGGCTCCCCCAGGGGCTAGATCACGACAATGCTCCGCCACCGTATCGGACGGACTAGCTGGCGTTGTATGGATTGGTGCTGTAATGTGTAGGATGGAGGAACGGCTCAGCGCACTGCGTAAGGACTCCGCGCTTCTCAACATGACTTCGGTACTCACCATCCTTGCCTCTGTGGGATTCTTATTATCAGAGGTATCTCGGATACGTTGCCACTTGGCGTTTTTCAAGACACTCATCACTGCTTCACCCTCCTCCAACGCGCGCTCCACGTCAATAGAATCCATCCCCGAGAGCCCATTCGCGCCTGCACTAATCTCTAGCGGCACCACAACAACGTCGCGGTGCAGATCCAGCTGTTGCACTCGCTCCGCATTGAGGGAAGCAAATGCAACTTGTGTGGCACTGAATGAAAACTGGATCGCGATACTTTCCACCAGAAACTGCTCCGCTTTCGAGATCAAGGCATGGAAGGGGACACACCATAGAATGCCTGTGGGAATGATGGTCAGAACGGTCTCAGGATGGTCCTTGTTAGCAGCTGCTGGATCAAGAACCATAATATAGTTGTAGATAGGCTCCATGAGGATCTCGTAAAGGATCTGTAGTGGTTCAATCCACGCTTTGCGATGGAGAGTTGTTATAATACCAGTTGCAGTGTCAATAGTTCGGTCTTCCCCTTGGCGGTACCCTATGGAGCGCTCCTGTCCGATTGGTTCCACTAGAAGCCCCTGGCGGGCTGCACGCACCGCCTGCTCTATGGTTATGTTGAAGTTTTTTGTGATGTTGATCTCAACGAAACGCATCTCAGCACAGGGCAGCACAAGCCAAATCAAGAGATTCTCCTCGATGTCAAAGGCGTTGGCTTCTGTGATATAGCTAAGACGCCGAGCGGGAAAGTAGTATACAAAAGGAGTTTGTGCTCTAGAAGCTATGGCTGCAATCTGATCTAGCGACGGGTGCTCACAGAAGGCACTCAGCATTTTGTCCGTGAGCAAATCGCTATTTTCGTGTATGAGTGTGTGCTCAAGTTGCTCCAGGGCCTCACGATAACGGTACGTAGCAGCTAGTACACACACAAGGTAGCTGTTGCATGCATTCTGCATCAAAAGTACACTAAATGTAGGAATAGAGATCTCCCCTAGTACACTAACTCCGTCTTTTTCACGACACGACGTGGCAAGTAGATCTTCCCAGTGCCGGATAGCGTCCAGGAGGATCCTCTCTGCCAGGCTATGTGAAGAGCGTAGCCAGTAAAGTGTAGCAAGATACGTCAGGGTCGTTGCCTCCAGAAGCTTGTGTTGGAGCTTCCTACTGCCATCCACAGCAGAGATCAGATGCTTCTCTGCCTGCTCCAGCTGGTTGGTCCCCATATGCAGGTTTGCAAGCTGGAGTGAGGTCACAACTTTCATAAACACATGACTGACACCCTGATCGACACAACAGAGGATATCAAACCAGACTTCCGTCAGCATGACGCGCTCCATGTGCTGATATCGTGAGGTACGCTGCCAACTAGGGCAGCTAGCGTATAGGCCGGTCTCACCTTCCTCAACATCGACGTGCTGCTCAAAGACGAACCGCGCAACGCTGTCCAGCGCCTTCTCAACGTTAGCTTTAAGGGGTTCTGCATCCACGCCACTGACGCGCTGCGCTGCACGGTACGCCTCAGCCCACATCCTGACAGCCTCTCGAATTAACCGCACGGTCGCCCACTCCCGCAGGAAATATACCGAATGTCGCACCTTTTCTTTTGTAATTGGATTTATGTAGTAGGTTTCCTCATCACTGTCGCCCTCAGAGCCAGTACACTTTCTGATTTCGCAGTCTTCACGTGCTTGACGGAAAAGCTCGTGCGCCGCTTCATAGCAACGGGTAAAGAGAACACTTTGAACATGCTTTAGAGCTTTTTTCATTTCTGCGACCCAAGCGGCATTGTAGGCTTTTCTTGCTATGTCAAGAGCTGTCTGGAAGGATTCGGTGGCTTTAGTGAGGGACCCGTTGTCCAAGTAGGCAACTCCTTCTTCAACTACTAGCTCATAACTCAGGCGCTGCAAATTAGAACTAAGTACTGCTATCCACTCTCTATTATTCTTTCGAACCGCAATCCCGAGAGCATCGTTCCACGCGACGTACGCGGCCTCAAGATCTTTCTGAGCGTAAGCATCACAGCCACAATCAAAGAGCGTCTGAAAGCTTTCATCAGTAGATATGCCAACCATTGCATCGGTCGTCAACGTCCCACCTTTCGGGTCCCTCAGCCTCATTATCTCGAGATGCTGTGATGCTAGAGGACGCGGCATGGGCTTTTCAATGGTACATTTTTCCCCCAGTGTTGCAGCTTCGGTAACGCAGTTACCGTTAATCTTGTTGTCTATAACATCGTCGTTTCCTTGATTTTCCATAGAATCTGGTTCTACCATAGGGTCCGGTACTTGCTGTTTTTGAAAGGAAATAAAAGAGGCGGAAGTGCCATCTTCCTCCCTCTCGTGACCTTCCGTGCTGACGTCCATAACCTGTGGCGTGACCCCTGGATTCTCGTCTGTTTCAGCCGTCCTCCGACATGGCGGCTGTGGCAATGCGACTGTCCTTAGGTTACCCACCGGTCTCAACTGACTGTTCCTCTCAACGGCAACGACCTCAGCCCGAACCTCGGCCACCTTATTGCGCATTTCACTTTCGTTGATTTCTGAATACAGACGAGTGCGCTCCTCAAATCTCTGGTGGATAGCCCTGAGAAGTGTGCTGGGCAGTTGCGATGATGCACCCATTGCAGACAGGGGTGGCACAGCATCAGCGTTTGCAGAGTCGAACAGCTGTTGCTTTTCGTGTGCAGCTAATGTTAGGGTTGCTGCTGGGGTGCCGTTGCTATCTTTGCCAGAAAACTGCGCCGCAGCCTCCAGGGTAATCCTTGGTCTTTGCGCGATGACATCTGTCGCCTTCCACACACGGTGTGGGCGACGCGGTAGAGAAGCCACATTTCTCTCGGCTAGGGACGCGGTTCCTTGGGCTTCACCCTTCTCGATGCTGTGGTTAGCCTCGACGAGTTGTGGAGTATCGTGCTCTGCTCGACGGAAGTTTTGATTTGCCAAAGCCGAGATCCGTTCTTGCAAGGGTTCTGGGATATCAGTATCTGCTACATCAATGTGCGTGATGCGCGGATTGAGCTCCAAAAGCTGCAGCAGTCGCCTGCCACCCGTACTAGATATAGGATTGCCGCGCAGAATGAGAGTGGTCACACCTATGTGACTCCGTAGCACATCAAAGAGGGCTTCAACTGTGGTATTGTCTGCCCCATTGCTGTCGAAATCAACATAAGTGATGGTTTGGCACCGATTGAGCAGTCGAATAACCGGCCGCAAACCTCTGGGGCCAACATAGTTGTTGACTAACGTGATCCGCTGCAACACAGAGTTGTTCTTCATATACTCTATCATTGCGGAGTTGATCCTACAACCTTCTTGAATACAGTACTCCCTGTATAAATCCACCAACGTGCTGAGCGGTGGTGGTGCCTCCTCAAACGATGGAGCTGAAGCGTGCAAGCTGCACATTTTTCGTTCTCCCTTCCCTTTGAAATACTTTACACAGGTTCAAGAATTAAAGAGAAATATGTACGTTCAAACACATATAATGTATTTGTTGATTTACCTTCGTATTCATCTACAGAGGTAATCGATGCGAGGGTCAAAAGAAGCATGAGTTGGGTATAACAATCGAGGTAGAATACAAGGCCCATCCTCACTGTGGGGAAATGCACATTGTATCATCGCCATGCTGGATTAACGTGTTACCCTCTTAAATGATATTCGTTATTTACGCGAGAACGCACAAATACTAAATGACACCTTTTTAATAAACCATAAGCTTATTTAAACGTTTGGTATTGTATTAAGAATTACAATAAGAACAGCTGAGCCTAGACCCACACACACAATACAAAAAAACACATGCACATCATCCGTCTAATACAATACTTTGCAGTAGTCGCTGTACTCGGCACTGAAGCTGCGCTGCTTTTCTCCAGTCCTCCTGGCGGTAGATGTACTGCTCCACACAACACTTACGCAACACCTTATGCGATATAAAGCTTCGAGAAGCTGCGTCCTTAGAGGACACATCTTCTTCGGTTTCAGTGTTGGAAGTAGTTTTCAGAGCTTCATGAATGGGGACAAGGGCTTTGACGATAGTCTCCTTGAGTCCTATACTGGCCACCTCATAAAGCACTTCGATCACGAACGCAGCATACTTATCGCCTACCAGGTCTGCTATGTGGCTTTGAATCCGCCTGAAAAATCGAACCACTTCGCCCTTCTCAACACTGTCAACCGCAAGCTTGCTCTCTGAGCGTCCGCTGCCGGCATTAACACTAGTGTCCTGGTCCCGCGAAGCGTGGGGTTTGACGGGGGATTGTGTGCTACTGCTCGCACGAAGGTATTGTTGTAAGACCAAGCTCCCTTTATGATGTTTGCAAAGGTTTAGGACATCCTCCAGGCGCAGTTTGTCTATCCCGTGACGTAGCAAAACAGACGCAGGATGGCGTAGGTGCAAGATATAACGCGCAAGTTCATAGCCTCGTTCCCCTAGGCGTCTTTCAACTAAAAGATATTGCGCTGCTCCTTTTGTCACAGCACCTTTGAACACCATGCACAGTTCCTTAGTCACAAGCTGCTCAAAACTCAAAGGAACACTGAAATAACGCACACCCTTGCTTTCATCTTGTCGGAGAACCGCAGTCAAATCACAGGGGGATGCGGCACCGCTTGTTGCGCCTTCACTTTCCTTTGGCACGACCAGCAATCCACTAAAGGCGCATTTCTTCAATAGTGCCGTTAGGACCCCTCCTAAGGCATGGATTTCCGTGAAACGTAAAAGATGCGGGTGTATTACTCTTTCCCACAGCAATTGAAGATGTGCTGCGGTAGGACTATAAAGGGCCAGATCCTGCAATACATAACCAGTTTGTGCGACACGCTCACTACCAGCATCAAGCAGTTGGCCTAACTCACTCTGTGTTAGCTGCATTGCCTTTCCCCAACAACATTCGTCTAAGAGCTGCTCTTTGGACCACACTACTGCTCTCTCACCACCCAGACCATCTTGGCTGGGTTTATCATCATCCTTTTGATTGACGGGGCGTGGACACCGCTTCGATTTCGTAGCGACATCATCAACTGGACAGTCTGCGGACGATGACGGCCCCGTGTGCTGGTAAAGAGAGAAACTATCACCAGCGTTTATCACTGCTTCTGGTGTGGGCACTTTCAGATAGGCTTGAAATATGTGAACGCCCATAGGATCGAGTAAGAGCTCCCGCAAAAGAGGCTTGGAGTTACACCGGAGTTTCTCGAGGCGCTGGCGCACCGCCAAATCCGTTGGACTGCGATTCTCACTGACACGCAGGAGGCTTTGTACCACGAAACTGCACGTGGGGTCCTGTGCCGCCGCCATCCAAGCCTCAGCTGGCCCACGAGTGCCGTATTGACGACCGTAGCCCTCCTCCAACGCTGAAACGACAGCAGTGGCCAACATTCCCAGGGTGCCTGTGAAACGGACCGGACGAGCCAGCGGCGGCTCATTATGAACTGTGAAGCCACCCAATACGAGAATAATCGAACGCAACGCGCGGGAACCCACCTCATGCACAAGCATATCCCCTGCAGACTCGCACAATTCCTCAACCGCGGAGTTCAGCAAAGTAGCTGTGCTAGGGACACCGCTTTCTACGTGGATTCCAGGGCCCCCCACTACCATCTCGGCTGTCAGCCCCTCTTGATTGTCTTCTAAATTGCTGAGCTCCCTCGACATGCTGGCAAACAAGGTTTCTAACATGTAGCTAGCCACTGGAGAAGTAATTAGCTCATGGATGCGCCCAAGAAAGACGTACAATAGGGACTTGCAGTGCAAAAGAGGTGAGTTCTTCAGGGCTAACTCAATGACGCGGCAGATTTTAGCATTACACAGCAAATTGAAACTGCGGTCCGCCTTAAGCAACTTCATCAACTCCACAAAAAAGCCGTCAACAATGCCAGCGAGCACTGAAGTGTCGCCGTTGCCGTCTGCATATTCCTCGATGGTCCGCTGAACGGACATAAAGTACGACATGTTACGGTCTCTCTCCTTCTTTTCTATCCTTTCCATCTTCCGTCGTTGTAACTTTTCCTTGGGGGATAGCTCACTAAACCGCACAAAAGCCTTGTCAGCACTCCCATCGTGTTGGTTTCCACCATCCCGCGGGCGTTTACCCCAAACGCGCTTTGCATTCTTGCTTTCCTTATCAGGGGCCATAGGCTGCTTGAATATATCAACCCTTTTATTTATCCTAAAGAATCGTGCAAGCTACTGAAGGGTACAATATAAAAGAGAATAGTAATGATAATGCTGCACCTTAAACATCAATTGCATGCTTTACTAGGTTCATTCGTTTGGTAAATTGAATCATTAAAAACAATGCTTAGATTGCGACCACGACACCTATCTCACGCAAATACTGAAATCCTTTGCTCAAGATAACCTGTTCGCGGTCGTTGTGATTTGATACACAGCCAGTCAATGCAACAAAACGCAATTTCTCAAGACAGCACAGGCTTGATAGAAGATCCACCAAGTCTTGGCTTGAGCATCTGTTTCCATCCAAGAAAAGAGCCTGCAGTTGAGCCAGCTCAGAGACTGTCTCACGGATCGCCTCAATAGCTAGGGATCCAGCGTTGGTATGCGAAAGGCGGAGTACCTCAAGTTTCTTGAGCTGCCCCAGCACGCCCAACTCACTCTCGCCTCCCTCCTTCAATGGCCCATCACACAGAGTTGAAATACCCAGGTCTCCGAGACCGAGAAAGGAAAGATCGAGTATGCGCAAAGTCGCTGTAGCACACCATAGAGCCCGCACGAGTCCATCCAGGGAGGCCCCGCCCCTGACAAACAAGGGGTTAGCACTGAGGTGTAATTCCTCTAACAGCGAGAGAGACAAACCGGGCGCTATAAAAGCAAAACTTTCATCCTGTAGGGAGCAGTCACTGAGGTCCAGAACGCGAAGCCCCTGACAGCTCCTGAGTGCTGCACCAAACACTTGAAAAGGATTTATTTCTACTTCACAAGAATTTTTATGAATCATTTCCAGATCAATTTCCTGTGTGCCGCGGTAGCGCACCCGCCCTCTCTCACGGTCGCGTCGTTCAATCTCATAAGAAGTTGGAACTCTCATATCGTGGTGGGTACTAGTGCCACTTTCAGAATTACTACCAGGACGCATATATGAGGGATCATATGCAAATAATTTCAACTCGTTCTCCTCCCTACTATTAGCACCGTCGGGCTGTGATTGTGACAGGAGGATCCCATTGGTCTTGATTGGACGCAAATCGTTACCAGACATTCGGAGGACGCGCAGCTGAAGGAGTGACCTGATGGCAGTGGCCAAGTCTACAAGCGACAAAGTTGTAAGACGACAACGAGTCAGATCCAGCTCTTCAAGTTCTTGCCACCGTTTGATTTGTTTTGACAGACTTTGTATACCTTCGTCAGTTAACCGGTTAGAACGCAACCGAAGACATCTCAACGATGTGGCATGCGTGAGACTACTGAGTAGCTGCTCTATACCACGCTTGGAGATGGAATTGTGGCGCAGATCTATTTGCTTCAGGGAAGTGCATCGCATCAGACAAGTCGAGAGATGAAATATGGCGTCCTCCGTAAGTTTGTTTGCGTCAAGATTGAAATCCTCTATACGGGTGACAGGCCTGGTGGAATCTTCAACCTCAGCGGTCCTTTCCTCATCCTTGCAACTTGGCAAGGCCTTGGAGAACAGTTCCAGAGAATAGGCGCTGACCTGACATCCAGCGAGCGCCAGCCGGTGCAGCTGGTGCCACCCACCGACGCCATAGCTCAGGTCTTTAACTAGCTGTGTAATACACAAATCTCCGAGGTTGTTATGAGATAGATCTAAGCATTGCAACGCTCTGCAGTGACGAAGCATTGTACTCTCAAGGACTAGCTTCACTAACAGAGGGACAGCCTTGAGATCAAGGCTGCGCAGTGTGCTACTGGAGTTGGCCAGGGATTTTACAAGCTTTTTCAGGCACGACTCACTACAATGTTGCAGACTCATGTAGTTAAGCAAGACATGAGTTAATTGAACGCAAGCCAATAGGGATGACAAGGCCGATAACAGCTCATCGTTCCACAACACCGGTGGCCCCGTAACGTTGTCTATCATGACAATGCTTAACCGTTGCAGGGGGGTGTGCGTTCCCTCAGAGTTCGCCAGGGCTTGGAAAAGCTCTGCGACACCACTGCTTCCACCCTTATGGCTAGACATCTCCTCTGAATTCCAATCGCACTCGCCCAGGGCTGAAGTGTGAATGTATATCTCAATGGAGTCTACCGTTGCAGACAATGAGCCCGCACGGACCAATGCTATGGCCGACCTCACACTTTGTGGAGATGAGAGAGTTATGTGTAAATAACTCAAATCGATATGTTTAACAGTCAGGCAGAGAGCATTTTGGATACTAAGCAAAGGGCTGATCTTTACATTTGGAACAAGCTCAGAGGGGGCTATCCTTCCGGAAAGCTCCTCAATGGCGGAATAGTCAAGCACCCATCGCGGGTCTCGGGCAGCTCCCCGCTTCAGTTCCTCGAGAAACGAGTCGAGTGATTTAGTCTCTCGCAAAGACTCCTCGCAGGACCACAGCCAACGGCGGGTTGTGTGCACGAGACTGATACCGAAGCTCGCAAAAGACACACCACTCAAGCAAACTCGCCACATTCTTTGGACACTTGCTATTTTTAAAAGGTTAAATGACTTTTTGACCTCCACACACGGATTACATATAGATAACTGTAATCTAAGCAAACAACAACAAAAAAGTATCGAAGACAAGCATATATTAATAATCTGGTTAGAGCTTCTTCATCAATATTATTAAGCGAAGTTGCTCGACACTTCTGGAAGCATATACTAATATGGTTCCTCTTTTTCTTTCACCTCCTATTTCGCGGTCTGTGACAGGGATTCGATGCTCACGTCTGTGTGTGTCCCATCTTCACTTTGATTTAGCTTGACAAGAAGGAGTGCTCCATAACTTCATTGATGGAAAATCGTGCCTTTGGATTGCATCGAAGCATATTTCTGAGGAGATCTTGCAATAATGGTTCGCTAAGACTTTTGAAAGCCGTATGATTTGCAAGTATGTGATCCCCATCTTGTATTTGATGAAGGATGACCTGGTCGCTACCGGGTTCTGCATGGAATGGAAAGCATGCAGTGCACATAGCGAAAAGGATCACCCCTGCCGCCCAAACATCTACTGCTGCACCATCATATGGTTGTCCCTGGATAAGCTCAGGCGCCACGTAATGCTTGGAGCCAAAACAAAGTCTTAAATGTAGACAAGACTCTCCGATAATATTTCTCTCTTTAGATTTATGACTACATTTCCTTGGGGACGATGACGTCGAAGCCTTACCTGGGAGGACCGCGCAAAGCCCGAGCCCACTGATGATTGCGTGACCCTCCCCGTCTAGGAAGATGTTCTCCAACTTCAAATTACGATGGGCCAACCCGCAATCCTCATGAAGATATTTCAATGCTAAGATCAATTCTCGCAAGATACGCCTGCATGTCCCAAGTGGCAGGCCCCTGGGCCTTTTTGAGTTTTCACCCCTTTCTGCTATTGCTGCCGCGGAGGGAGAGCTAAAGGCCGGGTAAGAACTTTCTTGTCTCGTCTCGATACCGTTACATAAGGCCTCTATGCATTGGTACAGCTCACCCTGACTGTAATATTTCTCAATCGTGAATAGATCCGTTTTTGTGGCAAAGGCAGGCCTAAATTCTGTAATATTGGGATGATGAGCAATACTCGCGACTAACGCCTCACGCTCGACCATTTGACGGAGTTGTTCGTTCCGACGCAAGTATTCTAGGGAATATACGCGCACCACAAACAAATCTTGCGAAGCATCTCGCCAAGCAAGAAAGGTATCATGCGTTTCAGCACTCCCTAAGTGACGCTCAAAAGTGTACCCATTCATAGCCTGGGGGAGGCTGTCACAATCGACAGCATTGGTGGGGCTCGTAGTCATAGCTCGTGTAAAAGCGAAGCGGGGATAGCATATATATATATAAGGTGTAATGTATCCTCTCTCACTAGTGAGACTAGCCACGAAACCGTGTAATGTTAATGAAAAGTAGGAGATAATCATATGCGCACAATAATAATATTTCAGCATTGCGATGTAAGTGCAGAAATCACTGTAAGAGTAGGCTTTGAAGGATTAGCGTCAATTGTACAGCGTAGTGAGTCATCCCCTAATTTGGCCGCGTTTTCTTCCTATTCGGGCGCTGCGAAGCGGATGGTTGTGTGTAGACATTTTTCATGGATGTCCCAACCACGTAATCGGATGCACTGTCCTTCATATCCAACAAGGATAGCTGTGCGGGCTCCGCCGCGATGATCACTTCAAAAATGTTCGTTTCCTCTCTTGACAAGTTACCAACTTGTTGCTTGAGTGCCGCATATCGCCCTTGCAAGTTGCGCTTTGTAAAAGGCATTATGTAAGCGTCCTTCTCCAAAATGGCTTCCCAGAAACGGCACACACCATAGTAGCGCGAAGCGGCATCTTCAACTGCGGCAGCCGCCATGAGACCCTCTTGCAAGGCTATTGGAGATATTTTGTAGTGGTGCTCCTTCCACCGCTCCAGTGTGATCACCGCCTGCTCAGGGGCGTGATGTCGCAGCAACCTTAGGTAGGTGGCTCGCAGGAAATCGTCCATCCTGCTCTCGTCGAGGTGTTTATTAAGGAGCTCAACGGCCTCCAGGGCTCTGGGTGAGAACATGCAGCAGAGGAGAAAGGCCCGCCACTCGACTGTAGCCCACTCAATCGACCGGCGACGTGACAGATCCCACAGCTGGAAAGCTTTTTGACTCCAGTCCGCGTTCTGTGGGAGAGTGCGGCACTCCTCCAACTCCCCCTTCTCCACCCGTGCCATCTTGAGGGCCGGGCATAGACGTTGGTGAGGCGGCGTCTGCATCCACTGGTAGACTCCTACATTGCGGTGATTAAAGGGCTCACCACACATAGGGCACGGCTTTCCGCCACCGGAGCGACTATAGTAAAACATCAGTCTGCTCATATCTGGTGTTGCCAGAACACACTGCGGCAAAGTCACGCGCCATCGCATGAAGAGCTCTGGGACATTGGGATAGTTGAGCGCGCAGGCGAGTTGCATAAGCTTGGCGCTGCTGCTCTCCGCGATATCGATGCCATAGCTAACAGCATCTTCCATTGTAGCTATCATTTTATCAACATTGTCTGTGGCAAAGTAGTAGTCTATGAGACGGTACATAAGGCTAAAACTAGGCCTTGAAGGCACATCCTTACGCAGCAAATCCAGGATTTCCTCAATGAATGCATCACATTGCAGCACACACTCGTCGTAATCAGTAGAGCGTTCATTGCCTACAACCCATTCGACAACAACTCCATCACGCTTGGAAAAATCAGCTGGAAACGACGCCCGGTACATGTTTTGACGATCAAAAAAACTTACCACCATCGTTAGCAGAAACACAATGCGTGTGTACAGGACATGATCAAAAACAAGACGATCCTCTTGGCACCATTGCGTAAGTTCACGTATGTGTGAGATACCCTCCGTTACTATCCGTGGTGTGCGCCCCTCGAAGTTAAAACAGTATGAAAGCCATTCCCGAATGGTAGTATATCCCTCTGCGGCATAGGTACGAGTGAGAATGAAGCCAAAGTGGCGAAAGCGATCAATGCAATCAAACCACTCATGCATACAATGAATGCGAGGGGCGACATATGTTAGTGACTGCAGAACAGCCACACGATAACTATGTCCATTAAGTGGATCAAAACAAAGGTGATGTTTGTAAACTACATTGTACAGAAGGTGACGCACTTCCTTAGAATTTTTTGCATCCTTAATCATGCGTATGATGTCATTGGAGGTACTAAGAGGCACTGAATCTCGGAGCGTCTGAACAAGTTGCATATTCCACTGATTGCGTGCTAGCAAGTTGTTGTCGTTATTATCGGAAGCAGGTTCATCTTTTCTGTCCTGTGGAGTTGTGGATTCCTCAGCAGGTAGATTTTCCATATTACTTTCTACCTCACGCACTAACCTATCACTTGCCCATCTAAATGCCGTTAAAAATGTTCCTGATACAACTATGCCTTGTCTCGCGTTTATGTAGTTTTGTGAACTCAATAACTTCACTAAACACGGATCCGAACCGCTCTTTATCGCGGACCCCATCCTTCGGAAGGGAAAACCCAACAACATTTCCCAATTCTTGGAAAGCCCAAAGTAAGACCCCCTCGATCTCCCTCCAAACCACAATGAAGAGGGAACGAGGGCAAACGAACGTTTGGCCACGATAAAATATGACCAATTACTTGTATAGCCAATATTGTATATAAATATGGATCAAAATGATTTGAAGAAATATGAAGAGTACATTTAGCAACAGTAATCCATATTAGTGCAGGTACATACACATGAAGATATTTGTCGCTCATCCTTTCCGTGCCCACTGAAACGGAAAATGTTGTAAATGAAAGCATGAAGTCGTATAGGGTAGCTCTCAAATTATTTTTTCTTTTCATTTTCATCGTACGTGGTGAAGATAAATTTACGAATATGGTTCAACCAATTGTCTCAAAATGTAAAGACCTGGGTTCAATATCTCCTAAAAAATAGACTGAATTCATCAGACCCTTTTTCATGGCGGTAAGGAGCTTCTAAATGAAAGTATCGCTGCTAATTAGGATGTCAAATACCTGACATCAGTACTAGGGGTCATGCAAGCATAATGTATTGAAAAATAATCGAATATTATTTTCATTTTAAATGAAATACAGTGTTGTGTGATAAAAGGTGCAATTGATCAAAAAGCTTAGTACAGCATCGTGTGTAGTAATAGTTAAGCTTTCTAAAAGAACACATATGCAGGCTCCACAGACTTCAATGTCGTATACCGATATGTGATTGCTAAACATCACGTTATCAACCATATATTTTTTCAAAGTAACTCTCAACATCATAATAAGACTAGTTATTTTATGAGAGGGGGGAGTACACGATAGGAGTGTGGAGCCTCGCATACCATTAGCTACACAAATTGAACTATCGAGATCAAACTGGACGGTATACCAGAAGGGTTAAGTTTCAGAGTGTTTTCTAGATGGTGTATGAACTCATAGGAGATATTTATTGTTTTGCTACAACACGCCAATGTAGGTATGACCTTATAGGAAAGAAATTGACACTATCACCAACGTATAATCGAGTTTGCACTTAATTTTGCGATCTACACTAGATACGTCAACGAAAGGATACACGAGCCTGTACATTATGATGATATAATTCACTCATACTCAATCAGAAGCAAAAAAAATGTCATGAAAATGTGATTACTAAAGTATTTAAGAATTAGATAGATAAACACTATGTCTAATATCCTAACTGCTTCTTTCAACACTTTAGTTGCACAAAATGCTTGCTTACAAGCAGTTACAGGAGGGGTTGAAAATGGAACGCCGCCGGATTCTTTCGCCATTGTGCGACCATCCATTTTCTATTATAGCCGTAAAACCGAGTGAATTGAGGCTATGCAGCTCTCCAGTTAAAATGACTGAGAACTGTAACCACCGCTTATCTTTAATCAGTGTGGCGTAACACTTTATTTCGTATGCATTCACAGCGATGGGGCCTCCCTCTCGAGGAATATATACATGCTTAATCGCTTCTGTGAAGCAATACCACGTAGCTTCTACAAGTTACCATTGGGAAATGCCGAGTAGGTGAAAACATCAGCCGAAGATACCACGTTAATATTCCTCGCTTTCGTTTACATGTTGCACTACAAAAGAAAATTGTGTTCACGTAAAACGGTATCTAGTGGAGTTCCCTTTAGTACTCTCCCCAACTCACTGCTTATCGGAACTGGAGGCCCAGAAAACATGGCTAAACTATTGCCCATAATCACAGGTATCGTAATCAGAGATAAATAAGTTGTATTACCGAATTATGCCTCACCTTTTCCGAAGGTGCAATATTAGGGAGACTACTGGGAGAGAAGCAGAAATCAAAATCCCTGTTTTTCCCAAACATCAAAGGATTTTTAGGCACTTGTTTTTGTCAAGCGTTTAGCTAAAAAAGTGCAATGAAGCGCTTAAATCGAGTTTACGGGGGAAAAGCGCATTCGCTTAAATACGAGATAGTAGATTACTATGAGAAGAAGAAACCAAGGACTAGAAAAACCTTTGCTCACTTTAATTAGAAAAAAATGTAATCAAAAATATGTAGCAGTTATCTTATTTATATACAGACTATTATGTATAATAAAAGTGCATATGAATGTCAATATCTATAGTATGCATACATACATACATACACACACGCATATATACATATATATATATATACGTATGTCCCTTGAACGATACTTAAATGACTTAATCTTATTATTTATAAAGGAATTAATTATTTGTTGAGAAGCAATAACAACCAAAATAAAGGGCAATGGAAGGGTAAGCTGAGTTCAATAGAAAAGATTTCTGTTGAATGTGACATCTAGCTTCCTCACGCATACATGTGCAATGAATTGCCTATAAAGGTAAACCAAACACACATACACACAAAAAAAGCATGATGAGTTCCTTCTCATAAATATTTTCCATTTCTAAGAGTGTTTATATTTACCCTCTATGAAGCTCGATATAGGATAAAAACAGGGAGTTTATTTGGGCGTTAATTAAAATAGTATGCAAGACATCTTTACTTCTATACAAAAAACGTCTTTGAAAACGTTATAATTCGTAGCTGGGATTCCTTCAGACCGAGCCACTCTCTATTCTATACTCGATGCTACTTTTTGGTCTTCGCTACCTTTTTAACACGCTTTGATGCAGTCTTCTTAGCAGCCTTTTTTGCCGAGTACTTCGTGTATGATGTGTAGGTGGAAGAGGAGCGGATGCTGCGGCTAGATGAGGGAGAGGAGACAACGCCCTTTTTGTTTGGTACCCAGCTCACTGGTGGTGTCAGTGGAAAGTTGCGTCGCAGATAATCACCTAGGCTGTTTTGAAGAGCAGTAAAAGTACGATAATTCTTGCTAGATTGAATGAGGTCTGGAACCTGAGCCATGGCATTTTGGCGCTCTCTCTTGAGAGTTTCGGCAAATGTTACTTCATCCTCTACCTGCCCCTTCTTCATAAGTTCTTCACGCTTAATAGTGAGCGAGCGTTCAGTGACCAAGGCGCGCTGATTCCTGGTGGCTTCTGTAATGTAGTTAAGAAACGTGGAGACGAAGGAAGAAAGAACGTAATCCGCTTCGGAGAGGTTAGGGTACTGACTAAGAAGGGCTTTATTGTTCTGATCCGGCTTAGCAATGCGGTCAAGTTTCTTTTCGAAGGAAGAAGTAAAGCCGATGTTGACGATGGAGGGAAAGGTTGATTTTGAAATTTCCACAAGCAGACGACCTACTGGTGTCGTCTCACAACGACCCTTATTAATAGTGATATAGTTACGCGCGAGAAGTGTCTTGACAATCATGGGGTACGTGCTAGGACGCCCGACGCCATTATTCCTGAGCTCCTCAATAATCCCACCCTCTGAATACGGCAGCGGTGGTGGGGCCCGGTACTCCTGTACGCGTGGTGACTCCAACTTGACTCCATTAACGCCTTTACGACTGAGCTGAACCTTGAGTTCTGAAATAGCTTTGAATTCTTCATCAGATATATTCGGTACCACCACCACACCATTTTCTACAGCCTCGGCTTCCAACTGAGTCTCAGCGATTGACTGACTTGCTTTACCAGAACCAACACGAAAAGCTACAGACCAGCCAGCCTCCACGGTGTGCTTGCCTTCTAGATGGAACTCTAGTGCATCTCCATTACCAGCGGTAAGGCTGACCTGCGCAGAGACACGTTCCGTTTTCATAGGGACCATAAACGCTGCTAGGGTGTTGCGGTAGATAAGATCATATACTTGTCTTGTGTTGGCGGCAATGCCCTTGCCTAAATTATCGGCTTTCATTTTAATATCAGTTGGGCGGATGGCCTCGTGGGCATCTTCAACATTGCCCTTTTCCATACTATCTCGTTTCCTGTTGTGTTTCCTTTGCTCCCCCTTTGCGATCCTTTCGTTAACCGCTGAAGCACGTTGCTCAAGAGGGTATAGCATATCGTTGCCGTGCTCACTCTTGATTGCTTCATAGATGGACGGTAGTACGCTTTCATCAATACGGATACTGTCTGTGCGTGGGTAAGTGATATACCCCATCTGGAACAGGTCTTGCAAGCAGGAGTTCACATTTTCACTGCTTAAGTGCAGCTGCCGATTGGCCTTTGCAATGAGCGTAGCCATCGTAAATGGGTCGGGAGGGCTTGTCACATTAGGTGTGATTATCGGTGCGCCTTTTACCTGGAAACCACTACAGTTTTCTAGTTTCCATTTGCTGCATAGCTGCTCAACTACTTTTCTATTTTCCCAGTCGATGGCACCCATTTTACTTTCATTTGCGGGCTTGATATGCACGAGCTGCGAGTAGCTCGTGCCGTTTCTCGAAGAAAAGGTGCAGACGGCTCGAACCTGAAACTCAGGCTGATGCGATTCAATAAATTTCGTGATTTTCTTCTCTCGTTCATCGATGAGAATTAATGCCGGTGTCTGTACGCGACCGATCGAGCGCATCTGTGGGTTAGCGAAGCGCACAACAGAGCTGCCAAGGAAGCCAAAAATACGATCCATAGCGTGCCTCGCTTCAGCTGCGTTGGCCAAGTTGTGGTCGAACAACTCCTGCCGCTCTTGCATAGCTGTGTGAATGCCATCAACGGTGATGCTGTGCATATACGCCCGTGTAAACGGCACATCCAAATCAGGAAACAATCTTTTAATCAGGTTAAGTGCATGAACTGCAATCAGTTCGCCTTCTCGATCCGGGTCGGTTGCTACTATGATTTCTGTCAGATTATCCGATCTGTCCTTGATGTTGTGTGATATTGCCTCTTGGATGTGTCGGCCTGGAAGGATTTCCCATTCCAGTGCAAAGCTCGCCAGAGCACCATTTGGGGGCAAATCAATGCCGTCTGGGAGCTTTGTAGGAGTGTGCTGTGGGGTCCATGTAATCTCTTGCAAAGACATGAAATGTCCAGTGGTGGCCATGGCGATCGCTTTCTCAGGCCCTGTTCCTAACTTTTTAATTCGGTCATTCTTGAAAGACCAGTCTGGGATGACCTTGGAGTCACTTAAAAGTCCCTCAACTTTGATCACTTTGTTGGGTGACTCCACAATGACCAGTTTCACAAGCCAGTGGGAACTTCGCCGCATTATTGCACTTTATTAGCGTTTATGAATAAAGTTAAGCCGTAAGGTTGTCTAAGAGTTGACCGCAGGCAATATGTTGGTAGTTCTAGTATGACAAACTAAATTCCACAAGATCTTCAATTACCTCGTTACTTTCTCAAGGCCACAATTGAAGGATGAATTAAATAGAAACAGATTAAACAGGGCGAGAATCATATATGCAAACAGTTGTATATGAATGTAACTAACTGTAGCAAAATTTTTTCCCAAAGTGATAGAAAAGAGTAGGGGGGAATCGCACTTTTTCTCTCAAATAAAGCGTAACAAACTAGATGTGATGGTCTACATATATATATACATATATCTTTAGTGTTTTTTTTTTGCACTCATGCATAAAAGCTAAGGCATCCCATCCTCTCAGATGAATCGGCTAAATATAAGGTAGACGTGATTTCTCGATAAAGAAAAGGTCAATGGGGTGATCCGCGAATACGACAAGCTTAAAGTCGATGTTATCCTCCATGAGTGAGGTTGCAGGCACAAGGATATATGGCTTATCATCGCAGGGTTCCAACTTCTGAACGAGAACAACTTCCGCGTTGTTTGAGGGCCCCACACTAGATATTGGCGAAAGCTTTTCATCATAGTTGACAAGATCCAGCTCCAAAAAGGTTTTACGGTCTGGCATTACCATCAGCGGTGGCAAAAAGGCCTTTTTTGTACCATTTCGCTTTACAATAGGTGGTTCGCGGTGTCGAGGGTACTGTACAAGGATCGCCACAATATTTGTTGGGCGAATGACAGAAAGTCCAATAAAGGGATTGTTTATCCAACTGGCGAATTTAGTTCGGCTACCACCTGCCGTCTTTCCTAACTCCCAGCTACCCTCTAGCAGCGTTGTCGACTTCCAGTCATTTGCCACTGACACCTCCAGCGCCGGCTGAGAGTAGAAGCTCACTTCAATGTCTACCTCTCTGTATGGAATCACAGTATATACTAACAGTATTAATGGACCAGGTTGTGTGTGCAAATTGAGCTCCACATCCAAGTCCACACGCCCAACGGCTTCCTTGCTTTTGCCCACAATATCATTGCTATCAAAGTGCAACCTGCGTCGATGACCATTATCGACGCTTAAGTCGCCGTAGAGTAAAATCATACCAATCTCGTTTCGCACATCATGAGCATTGCAATTAACAGCCGAAATAAAAAGACGTCCCTCTTGAGAAACAGGGAAGTTGAGAATCAGCTGCGGACTCCATCTCCATGAGGGGAACCTAGGTGAGCCACCAGCATTTCCATCGGAAGCATTCACATGAACCCTGTGCACGCATCGGACCCAGTCTAGGCGTGAATCAATTGGAACCAAAGAAACCTTGCGATTGCATAGTACCTTCAGAGTAAACTGCCCAACTATTTCTAGATGGCTACAGTGAGGTACTACAACGTAGGGCATGCCCCGCCGCTCCTTCATGCCAGACAGTGTAACCGTACCAGCCACACAAGGTTTCGCTTCAGCAGGGACGTTGAGCACAACTGTCTCAGGTTCGAACTTCAAGAAGCTGTGGCAAGCTCGAGTATTATGCACAGTGAAGCCGATTGCAGGGGTCAGGGTGCGGTCAGTGTTATCTCCATCATTCGTGGCAAAAGACACAAGGGTTAATGAAATCGTGAGTTCCATCGTCTCACTGGGGTAGAGAAAAAACTGCGGGTTATTGCGCCATGTGGGAGCTTGGGGTAGACCTCCCGCCGTTACACCTGCCCATTTTCCTTCGACGCTTATGGCGGTGTCACGGCTTACCGGAGTGATTGTGACGCATGCCTGTGAGGCTCTTGCAGTAACATAGTAAGCGATATCGTCGGCATTGTCAATATCCTGGAGGACCATAAGTGTGATCTGCTGCTTATGCTCGGATATGATCGTTGCATCTAAAGTAATCTTAGCAAATACATCCCGCGAACGAGATGGTGCCGACAGTGAAATAGCTTCACTGTCATCGAACTGTTTAATGAACCGGCGGTTATCCTCAGTGGCTAGTACTGCAAGACCAATCGCGTTCTTATATTCAGCCTTGGCATTTGGAGCTCTGGTTATACTTAATCGAGCATCCTGTTGGTGAACCCCAATGACAATATCTAGAGTATGACACCCAGCTGGCACACTGGAAATTTGCATCGCAAACTGAGGGAAGCGCATTTGCGTATCAGTTCCAACAGCACAACCACGTTTCCTTTTCCCTGAGCCCAAAAGAACACCGGAAATACCGCACACACTTGCATGTAGTTCGACATGAAACAAGTCAGAGTAGTAGAATAATACCTCATCGAAAGACATCCAGAATTCATCCAGACCGTGATGGTACTCAAGGGCTTGTAAGAGTGTATCAGTCCAAAGAGGGCTATGTGGTGCCCACTTACCCCGCCATCGAGTGTTTTCCTGATCACACCAGTTGCGCACCTTGACCAGCCGCTGCTTTTCAATAAAGCGTGCGTCTGTCACTGCGTACAGATGATCAGGCAAGATACCAACGTGCATTCTTTCAGATGACTTGGCGGTCAGACTGTCGAGCATCAAGGCGATCAGAACCTGATTATTGGTTGATTCCTTGAGAATACGCCACAAATTGTCCTTTTCATCGCCTGACAAGGGTTCAGACCCGATACCATGACCCAAGCTGTGAACCTCACAATAGCCACTTGAAACATCTCTGAGACCTTGGACTATGATATATTTAAGTGACAATCCTGGAGTGACCTGGGGCTCCAGAGCCTGATAACAGCGGTGTAACTTTGCATAAGCTTTTTCGGCAAGTGGGTAAAACATGTCTGACATATCCACTGAGTGACCAAAGCAAAGTGCTCCTGCCGAATCCACTGGAAGATAGTCATCCACGAGCACATGCACCCAGTCGTTGAACTTGAAAAAACGAAACTGGGCGAATCCGGCCTTTTTGTTGTACTCCACAAAAATACGGGCAAGCCAATGGGGTTTAGCCGAAACTGTATACAGTACTGATGCAAACCAGTGTCGCGCGCCGTAGGGAAATGGTGTACTCATATATCCTTCGCGAAGACACTCTACGTCTTCTGCAATGCTGGAGGCCCTTACCCAAGATATTTTTGGCGGAAATCCATAACAACTTGTGGCCTCAGTGTCTAACCACAATGAAGAATTACCAGTGGGAAAGTCAAGGTCCACAAACAAATTCTCTGTCATGAGGCATTTGGCCAAGATTTCGTTCCGTTTCTGACGAGTAGAAGTATCCTCAAGTAATAAGTTTTGTCCTTCGTTTAGAATCGCACTTTTCTGCCGTGCGCGTCTCTGTTGATTTTCACGCTCGTACTGAGACAGCTGATCCTCTCGCTCCCGTTCAGCTAGTGGCCTCACATCGTCCAATACAAACGGACCCTGACAAAAGAGGTGCAGTTGAAAGCTCCCCATTTGCCCCGCGTCTCGTGTCATAGCCACCAAATAAAAAGGGATGCCCTCATTATCAACAAACTTCAGGTGCGCTTCAGTGCGGGATGCCTCTGTACAGACTCGATTGTTGAAGTGTGGAGCTGCCGTATCTACAACAGCCAGGCATACTTCTAACATGAGTGAACTGTGACGCTGGCGAAAAGCAAATGCCTCGGCTGCGCGCTTCAGTTCCTTTTCTCCATCTGATAGGCAAATGATGTTTTGTTGTGTGGAAAAATAATCGGTTACAGCTTGCGGTACCGCTGCTTCACTCTTGACGTGTTTACGCTCCACAGGTTCTAAGCAGGCTATGAAGACTGTTCCACCGTCCCTGTTTCGTGTTACTTCTGGACGCAGCATCAGTTCCACTTTGACAGAGGGGTTGTTCTTCCAAGACTGGTATAAGTTCCTTAAGCCGCCACAGCACGCGTCATTCCAATTACTCTCAAGTAAGCGATAATTCCATCCGTGTGGAAACTCTGAAGTAGTGCATACGAAGGGCACAGAGCAAAATACATCCAGTGTATAGCAGCCTTCCTGGCCACTAACTTTAGTGCTTGGTACGACGTAGACATCTAGTTCTGCCAAAGGAATAGTAAATGACAACGATATAGACGTTTTGAGTTCATGCGTCACGCCCCAACGTCGCACTTCAGGTGTACAGAAAAGAGGTGGCCGCCCCAGGTTATCTGGACTTTGTGATACTATATCCAGACCAATTTCTTTTTCATCGTTGATATCAGGGTCAATGTTCTTCGTTAGGAGGAGATAAACTTCCACTACCGAAGAATGAAAGCACGCATTTGTGGACTCATCATATCGGAGATGTTGCATGTTATTGTAGCGCCACGTGGTAAGCAAGTTGCATCCTCCTTTTGTTGGCCACATGTCATTTATAGTTTGATTGTACCAGTCATACTGCTCATCAATCAGATCTAACGTGACCCATCCCTCTTCTAGAGTCGGTACATCGATAATCATCGTGGCTCTAAGCGCGTAGCCCATACCACGACCAGGACGAAAAACAAAGGGCATGACCACATAATTCCCGGACGCCTCCAACATTACCTCCGCTGTGGAATGAACCGCATCCACTGGGCTTTCCGCTACAATGGTATCTGGTTTTATGTCTATGACTCGTCGGATGCTATCGCATCGCATAACCACGAAGCCCGCCGGTCGCGTCAGTACCCCATCCGTTGACTCCAAAACGATAGAAACCCTTGATGCCCGGGATACACAAATGCGATACTGCGGGTTCTTCCTCCACGTTGAATAGTGCAGGTGACCCCCAGAGGAATCCTTCGTGAGTTCACCATATACCTCCGCCTGAAACAAGGGTTTGGCAGCCAATGTGGCGCGGTGCTTAGCATGTTCCTCATCGTCTAATTTGATTTGCGCTTGCAGCTTGCGATTACGGTCTAAATATTTTGCCACCAGAGACAACGAGCCCGGTAAAAAGTTGTTGCCAGACAAGTCTAACTCAATAATTCTATGATTTGTATCGAGAAGCTTGAGGACATGGTCAATACTTTTTTCATGTAGAAAATTATTGCGTAGCAACACTTTTTTGATCGATGGATGAAGAATGAGACAGTACACGAGGTGTTCCAACTGTTCGTGTTCTAATCGGTTGTTGCTCACGTCTAAAACAGCAACAGTCTTACAGTTCTTTACTAAGTCCAGAACCGGGAATAACCCATTTTTCCCCAAATAGTTGTTCGAGATGTCTACTTCATAGAGGAGCCTTTTATTGTTGTGTTTAGCATACTCGTCGTCCAAGACTGCACAAAAACCGCTATTTGGCTTGCAGTTCCACCTTCGGCAATAATATGAGTACAAGTCCTTTAAGCTAGCCATTGTCGTTATGTTTAAATGGGATCTGCTTCACCTAGTGCTGATAAACTTCGTAATTTTCAAAGCATAGAATGACTAAAGCACATATGGAAAGATAACTAGAGGGGGAAAAAGTCTAACGTATAGGAAAACTAATAATGCATACTTCTCTCTTGAGCTAACATCTTCAAGACAAACATGTTATTTGTACGGTGCTAGACATATAGCAAGCTTCATTGTAAATATCTTCATCGATGGAAAATTCAATTTGAAATATGCAAATGGTGAAGTCTTTTAGAGTGAGGTGAATAATTGTCATACAATTACCAAAAAATATATATCTTTGAAATTTATGATAATTCGATGTTTGGTAGATAATCATGAATATCGTTGATTATGCGCACATGAACCACTTGTGAATGAATGAATTAGTGATGGCCTAAAGGCTGAAACTGTATCATCCTGTAGATGGTGTGTAGGGGCAGAAACTTTTAATATTATCATTACGTTCTGTGCCATATTTACTTGCATCACAGCGCTATAACTTTCGGGTCTCGCAATATTTCTCAGAACCGCTACAAAGACGACTAAACCATTATTCACGCATATAAAAAGTGCTGCAAAAAGACTAGAAGACGCGAAATTCGAAGTCTAACTTTCTTGGAGGTGCTTGCAGAGCGCCATATTTGCGATGGCTTGCACGTTCCCACTCTTTAGACGAGGTGATCTTGCCCAACTCAGTGTTAGTAGGTCGAAGCCGCATTGGTAACCGCTTCATGTTGCTGCGTCCTTTCTGACGGAGCCTCGACATATACAAACGCTGATACTGAGGTTCTATAGGACGCCAATAGTAACGTAGATCTTTGATATCAATTTGGCGCCCGATGCGTCGGCGTCTCATTTTTCCACCAAGTGCCACCCAGACTTTAGAGTAAAGGGGTCCCATTTCCTTAAACCTCATTTGCCACACTTGCATTCGATGTTGAGCATAATACTCTTGTGGTTTCAACTGAATGCGTCGTGCCGTACGAGTAATCTCCTCGCAGCCAGGCTTAGGAAAAAGAAATTTACTTACCCTAAACATCTATCCCTTATTTATTCTTCTTGTTCAAAAGAAATGAGGAATAAAGAGGCATACATAACCAGACTCATCTCTAGAGGCAATGGTATTCAACGCGTGCTTACAATTTTTGTGGGAAAAGCATACTTATAAAAGCAAAAGTCAAGCATTGTAAATAATGAAATTAAGATATTTTTTTGAATGAAACGCTTCATTACTGTATAGTCATACATAGGCATACGCTTGAGTTGGGAATTATTATCCATAAATAAAAATCCAAAGTGACGGAAAATAGCAGCATAACAGGATGAAAATTACCTTGAAATCACTATAGTTCATACTAGACTATGCGGATGCGTTTTATTTTCGAAACTCTTATTTCCGCTAAACGTTATGTGGACATTGTCAGACGGATAGTCCTTATCAATAACATTGTCAGTGGTTAATTCACGGTAAGCGCCACGATCACACTTCAGAGTATCCCAGAAAGACTTTGGAACGATATAGTAAGTGATAATTCCAAACACAATGCCACAAATATGCATCCCAAATGCACTAGACCAAAAGAATAGTTGACACATGATGAGTAATACCCAGGGCACAAAAATTGGATTAATAGATAAAATGCCCCACAAAAGAAGGTTACCCTCACAATTATAGCACCAAAATGCGAATATCGAAAAAAGTACAGCACTGGCACCAACCGAGCATTCACTGTAGATTAATTCATGGAAAGCGCACCCCAAGACGATGACACCGAACATAGATATCCCATAAAGGAAAGCAAAACCAAAACTTCCAAGTCGCTTCTCTAAATCAAACCCAATGTCAAGCAAAAAGAGGACATTTAAAGATAAATGCAAATAAGTTAAGTGGCTGAAGTTACTGGCGAAGGCTTTGTATGCAAAATTTGCTCCCTTCTCATACCCACAAAAGGCTACGGATTGTAAGCCCTCATCTTCACGCCAAACATAGAAGCTGAATGCGATTGTGAATAGGGCAAGACCAAGTGTAGCAAACGGCACAATATCAAGAGAACACAACCCTGTCATAGTTTATTTTATGCAATTCCTCAAGAAGAAAAAACTACCTAAATAGAAGTTATATCATGGAGTCCTAATAATATAGACAAGTGTATGGAGAATGATATGGCTTAGCATGAATGATTACAAAGAAGCGTCACAATGCTTTTTTAAAAACCCATTATGCTAAAGTCGTAAAAGATACGCCAGCCTCGAGACACAGTATAGGCACCTTTTGTGGTACTATCATTTCTGTGAACATTTATGGATACTGTATTGAGAGGACTACACACTTGAAAAGGATCACTCACCCTAACAATGACACCATTGATATAATTGGAGACATCAGTAAATAAAATCCAACCTTAAAGGCATTATGAATCCTTTATTGGCATCTTAAGTAGCATACTTTTACTCTTATTTTATTGTACAAAGTAACCTTTCCTGTTAAAATAAGAAAGGAAGTGAAGACAAAAGGGTATTCAAAAACAAAGAATAGTCGACAAAATAAAACATATGGAGCATAATAAGGTAAGGCTATTTTGTTTATTCTGAAGCTGTCTACACCCATGGATGATCTTATGTTAATGCGTGGGTATTATGCTATACGTGTGAGAAAATCTAATTTTGCTGAAAGCATTCATTATTTAAATTGTGCATCCTAAAAATAGGCGAATTATTAACCTTTTTTTTTTAGGAATCCACAAAGATTTTTCTACCACCCACAATCATATTACATCATGGAACGCACATCACAATGAAAGACCCAGAATTAAAAAGTATGAAGGCCTCAACTATATTGCGCCATTTCATAGACGTATGTGTGATATGTTCGCTTGTAACGCTGCTTTACGGCAGCACAAAGAGCCACTGCCACTATCATACCAAATGAGTAGGCGATAGTCATGAATTGGCCCTCAAAAAACTTCGAAATAATCTGATAAAAGACCAGGGCTCCAACATTTTCCATTATAGAGACACAAATTCCACTAACACCCTCCTCAATCGGGAACGATATTTCTGCTACAAGCTCGAAGAATAGTGGAGCTGCTGCACCATTCCAGAAACCACATAAACCAGTCGAAAAAGCGATGAATCCCTTACCCATATCCAACAAGGCAAAGCCCTTATCGTTTGGTGTGCATGAAATAAAAATGAGATTACTTAAGCTATTCATAGTAATACAAAAAAAAATTACGTATTTCATTTGGCGGGAAAAGTACAGATCCACTAGACACGACATGATTAAACCGCCAATCACAAACATGAAGATTCCAAAAAAACTCATAATTCCAATAAATGTTTCATCAAACCATTTATTATAAGTCGCCGCAAATAGTGAGATCCAGGCAGCAAAACCACCACTAAGCCAAGCATACACAATCAAAAGGAGAACACATGAGGGAATACGGAAAAGCTGAGCAAGCTGCCGATGAAGGGAAACGTGAGCATTAGAGCATGCAATGATTTCCCCGTTACCTTGTGCTTCTACTGTGCTATCATTGGGCAAATTATTTACATTAGAGCTCGAGCTAAACTGCATTTGCTGATCGTCTCTATGCAAGTGCTCCTTTGGCATGTACATCCACGCAAGGGTCGCGACAAGAATCGCAATCAGCAGCTCGTAAATGACGACAGCTACCATAGTAAGTTTTTGAGTTACAATAGGAATAACGAGATAACAAAGAGCATTCCCTACACTGTTGAAAAGAATAGCAACAGCAGTAGCGCGTGTGCGTTCCTTTGGCTGAAACCAGGTTGCGGAAAGAGCTGACACGGCACCAGTTGCAACTGGAGATCCCAATCCACTAAATATTTGTCCGATGTGTAGAAAAACAAGGCCTGCCTTGGTATGGCGGGTTAAAATACCAATCAGTTTGAGCAACGCACCAGCAATTTCTGATAGTGTTCCAAGGCAAACCGAGAAACGTAGACCATCGTATTGCGTCACAATCTTCATAACAGGAATGCACATGCACAGAAAAGCAACAGGCTGCCATGACGAAAGCAGTTCCAGCTGGCGTTTTGATAGACCTTCAACATTTTTTTCCAGCCATTCGGCGACAGGATCAAACATGATCCATGAAAAGCCATTATTCATGGTAAAGAGGGAAAAGATGATAAGAACCCTGAACTTTTCAGGTATTCTATAAATATACTCAGCAAAACCCATTTTGTTTGATTTTATGGTCTCAACACGGCATTCAAATAAATCAAGGAAACCCACTAGTCAGAGGCTCAAGAAAAAAGGAAATCTAATTAGAATATTGTGAATCAATTTTTTCCCTTTCCCCTCAAAAATGATAAAAAACTACCGAAATGAAGAAAAGCAAAGAATAGTTGCGCTGCTGCCGCATATCTAAACCAGTAAATTGTGGATTCATATAGCTTAACTTTTCAAACGCCATAACTGAGAATTCTTTAACTTTTGGATTAATATAATATAACGAGATTTGCATATCCACTAGAATGTTAATTGCCGTTGCCTCCTCGGAGGTGAGCGCATTGCATTGACTGTATTTTTGACAAGTTTCAAGGCTCCTGTTAGTAATAGTTTGAGCAAGAGAATGCAGATTAGTACTGCTGCGACACGACTCGCATGCAACCTCCAGCCCTCGAGACGAAACGGATTGAGAAGCAATTGAAGAGAAGAATACTGAGTGTTGGGTGCTTTGTTATTTGTAGACTCAGAAACGCCATTGACGGGATGTTGGGCAGATTCTGGGTACTGTTTTTCTATGATGCCATTATTCGAGGAAATAAGTGACTCACGATGTTTAGCTTTTTTCATTATTTGGGTATTCTTTTCGGCGCACCGTCGTTTGCACGTTGCCTCATACGCTAGTAATTCCTCTACTGCATTATCCGATATCCATTTCCGAAGCTTTGCCACTTCGCAATCCAATGGATACATTATATTTCCGCATTCCGCAAAGCATTCAACCTCGAGTGACAAAAGTGAAGGCAGCACTTCCTTAAACGTGCTTTGAATTCCCACTACACACTCCATGATACGGGCATGGGCAGCATCCCGAACGTCGTATTCGCTTGAATTAGTTACATTGGCTAAAAACGAGCGGACAAAAAAGCCTGCACTTTCTGGATTAACTCGTTGGAGGCATCTCCCCCCGACAAGTACAATGGCAGGAGAGAGCATCCCATCTAGTTTTCCCTTAATCAAATCAAGGAAACACCGAAGCCTTTCGGTGGCACTTTTTTTTTGTGTATAAAGCACTTCAACTGTTTCACATCCCTTTGACGATTGCATGACACGATGTTCGCTAAAAAGTCGCAAACAGACAGATACGCCAAAATTCACATGCGCTACCTGAACCTTAAGCTCTTCCCAGGGGTCAAAGCTATTAGATGACTTTTGATCATTTGTTGCTAGCTCAACTAGCGAAATAAACTTGGACAAACTGTTTTCTAGAGACTGATGAGCCTTGTAGATGGCACCTACACGGTCACCTCCTCTGGCAATCTGGACGGCTATGGCAAGCTCTTCTTGCATCGGACCTGAGGGTGCAATAGAAGAAAAAAGGTGTGAAGAGTAAAGGTGAAGGTGTCGAGCCGTATGTAGTGATAAATAGGTAAAGATAGATGGACTAGAATCAAAGATAAAATGTGAAGGAACAAACAAAAGTATGACTTCAAATAATCCTTGCACGAAGCTAAAGGAAACAAAAGTCTGCCTCACATAAAGTAGAAAATTATAAGAATATAATGATGAGCTTAATGTGTATCAAGCTTAGGTCTAATTTCTCAGTCATCGATTTAGTCTTGGGCTACGCGTACAGGATCGACTTCACTATGCCAACATTGCATAAGCCCTCATATAGTATAACTGATTTTTTCAGGCACTACCTAGATGAAAACAACTATACAATTGCTTTCAAGAACGACAATCGCATGATCATTCTTCATAGACGCGCACCATATCGCACCTCTTTTTGGTACATCGCATTGGTGGTCAAGGATGGGCTCACTGCTATGACATGGAAAGACGTATAAAAGAGGCGCAATGCACCTCGTATCATTTTCACTTGCACTAAGCAGTGTATCAGGATCAAATGCATATGGCATTGCAATGAAAACATTTGGGTCATCTCTCTTACCTATCATAAGCTTGTGGAGCGACTTACGCATGGAAAAATTCTATATATATATATATATGTATATATAAACAGGCATGCCCTATAAGCAAGCGACAAATACGATTGATAACCAGATCACAGCATGCTAGCCAATATTTGAGTTCCCCTACGGTTGAAAAAAGATCCAAACTTTTATTGCAGTCCTGAACGAATGCTCTAAATCAGTGTCATAAAATCTCTTTCATGTGATGTTGCATGACTAAATTCAAGAACATAGCGAAAAAATTTCACCGTTGGAATTTGTACCTCTAGTGAAAACTTTATGGCACCTTTGCAGATTTCATTGGTATACACGATGCTACTCCCACTGTCTAAAGCAAGACTGCTCGCATATTGTACAAGATACACTCAGAAAGAAAACTGTGTATACCCCTCATGCTCCGATATAGGGGCATCTCTGTTAAAGTTTCAACTGTTATCGTGTAATCATCAATAGAAGTTGCAAGATATTAAGGGGGGATGAGGAACGATACAAGAATGATGTGATGGTAATGCGCATAGACTAGGCGACCTATGGTGGAGTTTGTCTCATAGATGAGCATAACAGCACAAGAATCATGGCCATCAACAAGCGGATACAAAAGCAGATTAATTTCATCACATGTGACCAACAACAGAGCACATGATTCGTTTTTAAAAATATTAGAGCACTGTCTAAATTTCAATCGAAGACTATCAAGCGAGACAACCACAACTTTGGGTTGGTTAATCTACTGGTGATTAAATCTGTTTTTCTCCATAAACTCTGGACATGAGGGATTACTTCGAGCATTTGTGAACAGAGGGGAAAACCGCCATATTAGCATCTTGATGTTGTCTCATTTGTGGAATACATTGTGCTTATATAGTAAAAGATGTTCCCTTGCAAATTCAAATATGTAAACCGCTTCTGTAGAGTCAATGAACTAAACTTGAGCCAAATCAACATAAATGGTCGAAGGAGGAATAAAAATCGCTAAAGCTGTTCATTAGTATTTTAAAAAAGATACGAATATACACCTCCATTTCTTGAATAATCACACAATAGAAAAGTGGAATCGTGATAAAAACAAACGTTTTTCAGCTCAACTCGTTAAGTCATAGAAGTACGCAGAAAAGGCAAGTAGAGGAAAAGGCAATGAAACAGGCTGTACATTGGGAAAGGAAGAGGGCAAGAGGAGTAAATACAGTATGCTAGTATAATATCGATGCTCTCTTAAGTGAGTGAACACGAAAGCTGCCAGAGACAATGTGTGAACTCACTTTCGTAGATTCGTTACAATGTAATACAAATATTACGTTTTGTTCATTACAAACGATAAGCTCGTTTCCGTCAAGTGCAAAAAAGCCAACCGGGTCGGAGACTTGTGGATCTGACCACTTTTTCATATCCCAAGATATGCTAGCACCACATGAACACGCTCGAGCAAAAAGTACGCGATCAGGTGCAATAATCGTACTCAAGCAAAACATGGGATCGTCCAAAGACGAACGAACGAATGGCACGTAACTGACGGAACTCGCATGCGAAAAGACTGTCACACAATCCCCTGAAGCGCTAATGCAAAGACAAAGAACTGATGTGTAATCGTACGAGAGCACCTCGGTGCCATTCCCCATTACTAAAAAACTCCGGAAAAAAATACCGTTACGCCTACCAAATCGTCTAAACGAAGCATCCAGTGCCATCTTTAACTCCTCTAACGCGAAACTGCTAAAATCTTTAACGGTGGTGCCACACGAGTACTCGTATGACTCTTGACAACGCTCGGCAAAAGAGGTACTTTTGCTTCTTCTCAAATAAGCCTCCAGAGAATTCGCTGGAAATGGTGGCATTTCGCAATTTCTCAGCGCACTCAAAGAATCTAATGAACGAACACATCCCAATTTGTGTGGTACAGAAACAAAGTCCGATCCATTATTCCACGAAAGATGTAGCCAGCCAGCCTCTGCGACGATGATCTGAAAACTTGTTAGGGAATAGCGTACCACTTCAAGGGTGCACACATAACTCTTGCATTTGAGTATCACAGTAGCCTCACTAAAGGATGCCTTGTTAAAAGCTGTTGGGGTGATCGCAACCTTGCAAACTGTGCTCCCCCCTGCAGCCAAAATGCAGTTGTTATCAACAATAGCAAGGTACGACACATCGCAATCCGAGCCCAAAATTGGCTTCAGGTAACTTTTTGACGTTGTAAACGTCACTCCTCTATCCGTAGATAGAGCCAGGAATCCTCCCTTACCTGCGAGAGCGACAGACTCTGAGTAACTACTAACGCAAGAGAGCGTTGAATGATCCTTTTCATGATTAGATAGCATTACATCCAGATCAGCATCTTCAGAGCTTAAACCCTTAATAAGGTTCTTAAGGAAATCATCCGTTGTATTCATGTCCTCTTCTGCTACATGAGATGCTGAATCGCTTTCCTGATTGTACACCATTTTCCACGAGAAACCTCGATCAGGACTTCGAAGAAGCGAATCATTCTTCGATAATGCAAATAGAAATCCTGGTGCCAGACCAGGAAAGGAATACTGGAGAATCAGAACGATGTCGTCCAGTGAAAGTCCATTATAGTCTTGGTGGCCCGATTCAATGCTGGACCTGCACCTTTCCTCGAAAATGTACAAAAGAAACAGTAGTCGATCACATGAAATCGACGATGACCGGCGCATGAGACCGGTCAGCTGAGTTTCCAATTTCATTAGGACTTTGTTCACAAACTGACAAAAAGAAGAAACACATCCATCAGTCTTGGAGGTCAGCATAAATATTATTGATTTAAAGATTCAGACTTATTTAACCTCAGTTGAGTCTTCAATTTTTTTCTGGCTGTTACTGTCTGTATGCAGAATGTGTAACGACACAAACATTATTAATTGAATGCAAAAAAAGTGAGAAAGATCAACACGAAGCAGAGTACTATTATTGTACAAATTTTTCCTTTGTTCGACATGCTGTTGAGCAACTTATCGACCTTTGTGTTGGCTATTCGGAGACGTGCTTGTATTCCGCTGATATTCCTATCCATTTCACTCAAAAGCACTTCATGAGTGTCCAACTCATCAGCAATGTCGACACCTGTTTCTCTTAGCTCTTGCAATCCATATGTGAGGCGATCAAGAATTTCTTCTTGCTGTTGTGTTTCAGCCTTTTGAGAAAGCTCCTGGACTGCCAGAAATTCTTCTGAATGATTTTCATTTCCTTGGGAGTTTGCTGATGCGGAAGCGCATTGGATGGGTCTTCGTTGCTTAATTTCCGAGCAAAAAGTAACTAACTCCTTTACATCGCCCTCAATAGCACGAACTATATTTTGACGATTCATGATTTCATTGGCAGAGAAAACTCTGCCCTGAACTTTACCCCCCCCTTCCTCTATAGAAAAAAGCATTTCTTTTAGTAAGCCTAGAAGTTCTTCCGATTCTGTGCTCACCTTTTCCAATTCACCAATGTTTTCAGCACTAATAACACCCTTTTGATTGATTCCATGCTGAAGCAACTTGCCCCTCACAACAAGCTCCCGCATTTCTGTTTCTAGTTCATGGAAAGGATCCGTCTGATACATGATGATAGAATGAATACTGTTTGGAATTAAGACTAAATCAAGAAGAAAGAAAGCCAAAATGATTTAAAAGACTCTTTGAGTATGTATCTAGGCCCTAGGCATAAAATTCCTATTTTCTATATCCGACGAGACTTAGTTGTATAATAAATATCATAGATATAAAAACTCTCTCACACAAAGCAAGTTCCAATAAGGATACAACTTACGGCAAGCTGAACAGCGATAAGAGACAATACACAAGTCAGTAGTAACAGCTATTCCTCTCATTTCTATTTGGTTATCGATCCAGCTAGCGAGACAATTCTTGTAGAAGTATTTGTTTCCAAGCAGATCGCTCCTGTGCTTGAATGTGTTGAGCAGTTTCCTGGATAAATTCAGCAATATTGTCATCTATACCAAAAATACTAAAGAGAGAAGCTATTTTATCAGTCAGGATAGGATTGACAGTGTGAACAGGAAAATGTCCATAATTTGATCCAGGGGAGACAATAAAATTCGATGATTGATCAAAAGGCTGTGCGGAGGCCTGGGGCCCATTCCATAACGGACTAGAGCTTGGCATGTGATTTACCACAAGATCTGCTAATGAAGATTGCGTGAGGTTAGGGCCTCGATACGACAACTGTGTATCAAATTTTGCAGGCCCCTCTTGGAAAAGTGGTTCTCTATTATGGAAGCAGACACTATCAAAAACGATTTGCCCTAGGAGCGCATGGCACAGAACTTCTACATAGAATGGAAAAGATGCATGAAGCAGCTTCAGGACAGAGTGAAAATAAACGTGTTGTGTGCTTCGTTTATTCATAACGCGAGTTTTTGAGCGCTTACGTGGTTGCCCTGTGGCACTTATGCCACCACGGACAGGCTTCATCGCGACATTCTGCACATCACAAAACAAGGAAATATTATGATCTTCACCAGATTTAGTAAGAGAAAATTGTCTCGAGCCCAAAACATAGTTGAAAGTGAAGCTGTTAGGAGGCTCTTTGCGAGTGATTTCACTAGGACATGCTTCTATTAAAGCCGAAAAACGCCGATAACATGATGCATGTTTTATATTTCCATTCAGAAATCTTTTCATAGGGGAAGAGTAATATGCATAGTAATATTATACTTAGATATATATGTATATATATATTAACATAAAGAACAAGTGTATGGGGAAAAGGGTAAACAAAGGCATGATAAATAGTATTTTGTTAGCATTTACTGCGGAATAATATCTCGAAAAATAAATCCAAATAATATTCATAAAGCTATGCAGATAAGAATGATATTTTCTATCTTCCCCTATCTATTGTACTAGACCTCAAGCGAAAATTTAGGCACCATATTTCTGATAAACCCACTCTTTGTTATCCAATGGACAGACATTTCGCGTCTTTAACCAGCGCGAAATGCAATGCGTGTGGAAAGCGTGATTACATGCTCCCCACGCTACTGTGCACTTTTCCGGTGGACTTTGATTGGACTGACACTCAATACAAAGATCCATAATATGATTTCTACAAATCGCACATGTATCTACCTGGATGTTCCACGACCATAGTGCGACGGCATCCCACCGTTTTAATTCGAAACGTTTAAACTTATTAGCATTGACGCCTAGCTCAACTATTTCTGCTTCTTCATTTTCTTTCATCTTAAAGGAGTTGGCAAGAAAAAAGAAAGAAAAGATACCCTTTACAAGGTAGAATAGTCCCCTATGCTTAAAAAAAGAAGGAACAAGAGGAGTAAGATACAAATAGGAAAATGAAACAACAAATATGAATGAATGCATGGCACATTATATATTAACTAGGGTTGACAATTAAAATTAGTTTGGGTCGTAGCGAAAAGAAGATAGTTGAAAGCTACGAGCATGGACAGAAGATTCCGTTCAAAAAAATTTTATCCATGCACTTTGCGTTCTTCCTGTTAACGATACGATTGCAGTGGTACTGGAGTCTTAACCTTTCATCTGGATGTTCATTGAAACCAGATATCTTCAGCAATCTTTTCGTGAACTTTTCTTCAAAGAAGAACTGTGTTGTGTGATCTCCTTTCTCGAAAAATAACCCCTTTAGCTCACCATCGTTTTTTTTTATGAAACGGAAAAAATTATTATCCGGGAGAGCATAATCTCTGAATAACAGGAAGCCATCCGGTTTGATAACTTGACGTATCTGCTTCAATGTGTTCACCATATCAGCGAGTGTTGGCAAAGCGCTCAAGACAAAAACAAGCAAAACCACGTCGAATTTTTTTTCACTTAATGAGGGAAAGGCAGCATCCATTACACCAATTAGTGTTGTATTCAAAGGATCACATCGCAGCCGTTTCTTCTCATTTTCAAGATCTTCGCTGGAGTCAATAGATAATTTTGGACAACCACACAGGAAGTTAAACTGGAAAAGCCGTAAACGATTACATTTCAAGTATTCCACCGCAACAGGATGTTTCATAAAAAAATTCAATGCAGTCGAGGAAACATCAAAACCAACAAATGAAGCGTTTTCATTAGTGCAGTACCGCATTAATGGAAGAAGAGTACTCCCTGTGCCACATCCACATTCCAAAATACGGCATTGCGGCGCACTGGAATTAAGATAGTTCTTCAATATAGGGAACGCATGAATGATATAGTTTTTTAGTGGAAAATGGTGTCTATTAGTTGAATAGTGCTGCTCCCATGGTGAGGCATCAGTTACAGCTGCAGGTTGATTAACCTCATCCAGCATATCGAGAGTCTTTTCACAGTTAGAAATGTACGCGTCAACATAACTGCGTTCCTTTTCAGATAATTGATTAATTTTCTCTGTCCAGTTAAAATCGTTTGCGTGCAACTCTACATCTTTGGCATCGATGAAAACACCCCCACTTCGATTTCTGGGGATATGTACATCGGTCATTCTATTTCTACCTTCAGGGGAAGATTCTTTGAGGACATTTAAAAGTAAGGGATATATAGATATAAGTACGCACTATTTTTATTGAGAAAGTACATATTGAACCTAAATTTCATAATTTCACGTATAGAAGGTGAACGTATTAACCTTCGATCGAATATTACTACTGTCTTTTGGGTAGGCATAATACTCCTAAGTTTTATTTGTTTCTATTTAACGTTGCATAAGTCATCACCCCCTAACTTATACTAAAAATAATGATAACACGTCAGTCAAATCGATTTGCTCAAACGGAATTCCAACAGCTTTCTGAAACTCTCTCAATACCTTTTCGAAAATTTAAACTGCGGATGTAAACTCATATAATTCTACCTCTACATTTAAATAGGCTGTCGTATTCATTTGAAGAAGCAAGGTATAAAAATAAATTTTAAGATGTGGTAACGCTTCATCAACAGTTCTGCAACTTGTGAAGATCATCTGTGCTTTCAATGGCTCTCACTTCGATGAGGCCAATTATACTCACAGAGGTGACCCATAAGCCAATTTAAGTGCGACTCTTTGTATCACTACAATCCTCGTAAGGTGGAAATGAACATTTTTGCGGATCAGGCTTTATACAGCCGCGAACAATAATGCGGTTAACATTCATTACACCAGGGCGTTGGCTGAAGCAGAAGGGGGATATCTCCACCGCTACGGGTGTCAACGCCCCCGCTCGGCTTATGACGTGCTACTTTTCCAGCATTACATCCACTTCTAAATTTTAATGCAAACCAAAAGGGAAAAAAATACCACTCATGAAATCACACCACAGCACCGCACCAAGAAGAGTTGGTATCGAAAGATGAAAGTCAGAGGCGGGGAGGATGAGGGTAGTGTTTACAGCCCCCCCCCCTATGGACAGTTTAATACTTTATTTTTTGGGTCGGAGTACATTATCAACAGCGACACTAGGCCGGCCGGCTGGCCCACCCCCCTGTGCGAAAAAGTTTAGTGAGACGATGGCCCAAGGCGAACCAAGCAGTGGCCATGCGGCGGCGTTCATAATTTGCGTCCGGGGCGGCCACCTAGCAAGAGCGTGGCGAAGTTTACAACCATAGAGGCCGATGGTTTCAGCCGTGGCATGGCAAAAGGTCTCCTGCATAGAATGTGGCGCCAAAATGGGTAGATAATCGGGTTGGGGAAGGGGTATATGCCGTCCGCCTCTTCATAGTTCTTGGGGAAAGAGGGCACCCATTGGCGAATAAAATCCCTCGCACGTGCCCAAGCCAGTGGATAGGTATATGGGTATGTTTGCCAGAGCCAGCGGGGTATAGGGCCTGAGCCACCAGAGGCCAACAAAATGGATGAAGCACTCCGACTGAATACTTTTAGCCCCTATTGAGTTGAATAATTATACCGACTAGAGGTTCTAATTTCATATATTATTAATTTAGCTTTTTCCCTCCTAAATTTGGAGACTGAATATGCACATTGTCACGTAATAGCATATCAGGGAAATTTAAACGTGACATTGGCAATAGATAACATCATGTGGATTTTGCAACACAGAACTAAAAATAGTCTGCTTCATA